TTACTTTTCTTTTGGTTTTCAGTGTTTGCTACTCCGCTTTCCTCGATTCTCCATTGATTTCAAAAATATAAAACCAGAGCGTATTTGTATCATAACCCACATCCACGGGTTTTCCGGAGGTATGTTACGAAATGATTATAGCCATCAACGAGGCATCATTTTTTTCTGTTAACCATGTTTCTGATAAGCATAAATGAAAGGAGACTCTCAGGACTATAATAGTGCTTCCAGTCCATTAAGATTACCCTTCAGAGAGCGAGCATTTAATTGTAGTCCAGAAATTTTATTTTCCTGAGAGGCCTCTGATTGATAGGAAATCACCAGTAAAACAACTCATAGCATCATTAAAACTATGAATCTAGTACATGACCGCCTTTATAGGGCCGGTTATTTTATTGGTATAACTCATTTCTGTATTGAAGATTTTTATGTATCTGGACAAAACGGATGCAATGCACGCAGCAGTTTGAGGAATTTGAGTCTCGCCTCTGTTGAACTTTCTATTTTTTAGAGATCTTTTGTGCTTTCTCGTTCAGTTGGCGCTTTTTTCGTCAAAAACGAACAATGATGGGTTTTCCTGGACCTGGTAGACAATTCTCATATGGGTTTCCCCTGACATAAAGAGAAATACTAAAATGTACTCAGCTTCGAAAAAGTTTGACTCAGGTCTGGGCGTTTTCCTTTTGTCTAAATGTTTAGCAAAATTTTTGGTTCTTTTCATTTAAAAGAAAGTTATATGAAACCATTTACGTTATGGCACTAGGGATTTTTCTCTGACACCCTCTAATCAAATGTTCAAACGACGCCTCTGAAACAGTTTTTTTTTTTGGTTTTTTTCGGGCTTTATTGTTATAAACAGTTTCATCCATAATATGTCAAATTTTCAAGCATGAATCTCTAGCAGTTGTAGAGAAAACGGCAGAAACGTGAACAGTTTTTTGTTCATTTTAAAGCTTGAAAACAAAAGTTGCTACTTCTTTGTCCCTTGACTGTGCATTCATGTGACTATTTGAGTGAGTGAGATTTATCCTCAAGCGCCTGATTGTATCAAAAGAATGGTTAATTTAGGCATGATTGCCTTGCAGAATCTTGATTTAAGTAATGAAATTTTCTGTGTACTTATTGAAATGTATCTACAAGAATATTGGGCTCAAGCGTTACCATTTAATTCACTTGTGCTTCTAAACAGTCTTTTAACTCATTTCTTGAAGGAATCGGCGAAGCTGGGGGTGTTAAAAAGAGTCGAAGTACCAGAGCCCCGAAAAATGAAAAGCGTTCAAAAGTTTTGAAAACTCAAGCTTCATGTATATATTGTTCCTAATTTCGACGAAAGGGCGGATTATTTATGCTTCTTGGTTTTTTATTCAGTCAATTTTTGACTAATTAGTTAGGCGTGATTATTTTTCTTTGCGCTTAATTTTTTCCTGTAGCTTATTTGTTTGCTAACAAATTTCTAAGACGCGGAATGAGTGAGGGACGATTGTTTGGTTTAATTAATTCAACAAAATTTTTTTTTGTGTTACTTCTGCTGCTTATGGTTTATTACGGGGGCTGAGTATCTGCTGTTCTCGTATAGTCATATAGTTCGATTTCTGAAAAATTCGCTCTACACTCACTGAAAATAAACCAACTTGACGTTCTAGCCTTATCTGCCAATTGTTGTCTTGAAAAGACTCTAGTAGATGAATTTAGTCTTGCATTATCTTGAAAGATGAACACAATATGCACGAGTTTTGCAAGGTCTTGCCAAATATACATTGTCTATTGACTAGGAGTGCAATTAACTGCAATCCAGGCTATCTTCTAGAGCAAAACACGTTTTTTTATATTTTTTTCTCATTTCACAAAATTTTCGCTCGTAGAAGTTTCTTTTTGGTTTTTGGGATAGACAGCAAAAATAGGCCACATTCTGATATTATAATTCCTTAAATGGAATTATTTTTGGTTCTCGCATGTTTTTCGTGGTTTATTGAACTTTTAGTGCACTTCGATAGCACTGATATAAAATGATCAGATAAAATGAACTCATATCAAAAATTGAAACTCGTTTCTCTCAAATTTGGCAATTTTGGGACAAAAAAATGGGAAGATTAAATGCGAGATGTTAAATGATGCGGAAGGCTGAAAATTATAATAAATTTTTTGGTTGTGGTTGCAAACCGCTAATATACATAACAGCTGCGTGTTGCGTGTTTATATACAACAATTTTTAGGTCACGGGATGGTTGATTTTACCCGTTTTTGTTTAAACTGTAGAGTCCATTGCAATAGGATCGGATAATGAGCAAAGAAATTTTGGTATTCCAAAACATGGTCATCAGTTTCGCGTAAGTTTAGGTAAATAATTTATCTAGGCAGGTTTTTGTTGTTTCAGTAGCTCCTGATGCTGTTGTTTCATCTCATTTATAGACATTTCACAGTTCAGGTAGTTGTTGGATAACTGATTTGTCTGCAAATATCGCTAATAAAATCACCACAAATTCTAATTAGTAATGATGGCGAGTATATAGTTTGCAAAGAACTATCTAGTTGATTGATGAAGCCGGGTTTGTTTGTCCTTGGAGGGTTGTATATGACTTCTTTTGGTTTTCAGTTTTTGCTACACCGCTTTACTCGATCCTCCATTGTTTTCAAAAATATAAAACCAGAGCGTTTTTGTATCATAACCCACATCCACTGGGTTTTCCGACGGTATGTTACAAAATGATTATAGCCGTCAACGAGGCATCAATTACAATCATTTTTTTCTGTTAACCATGTTTCTGATAAGCATAAATGAAAGGAGGAGACTCTCAGGACTGTATAATAGTGCTTCCAGTTGATAAAGATCACCTTTCAGAGAGCGAGCATTTAAATGTAGCACGGAAATTTTATTTTCCGGAAGGGCCTCTGATTGGTAGGAAAACATCAGTAAAACAACTCATAGCATCATTAAAACTATGAATCTAGTGCATGACCGCCTTTATAGGGCCGGTTATTTTATTGGTTTAACTCATTTCTGTATTGAAGAAGATTTTTATCTCTCTAGACAAAGCCGATGCAATGCACTCAGCAGTTTGAGGAAGTTGAGTCTCGCCTCTGTTGAATTTTCTCATTTTTTTAAAGATCTTTTGTGCTTTCTCGTTCAGTTGGCGCTTTTTTCGTCAAAAACGAACATTGATGGGTTTTCCTGGACCTGGTAAAAGATTCTCATATGTGTTTCCCCTGACATAAAGAGAAATACTAAAGTGTACTCAGATTCGAAAAAATTTGACTCAGGTCATGGCGTTTTCCTAAACGAGTTGCTTGAATTTTTAGACACCTTTTGTCTAAATGTTTAGCAAAATTTTTGGTTATTTTTATTTGAAAAGAAACTTATATGAAACCATTTACTTTGTGGCACTAGGGACTTCTCTATGACACCCTCTAATCAAATGGTCAAACGACGCCTCTGAAACAGTTTTTTATGGTTTTTTTCTAGGTATATTCTTATAAACAGTTTCATCTATAATATGTCAAATTTTCAAGCATGAATCTCTAGCAGTTGTAGAGAAAACGGCAGAAACGTGAACATTTTTTTTGTTCATTTTAAAGCTTGAAAACAAAAGTTGCTATTTCTTTGTCCCTTGACTGTGCATTCATGTGACTATATGAGTGAGTGAGATTTATCCTCAAGCGCCTGATTGTATCAAAACGATGGTTAATTTAGTCATGATTGCCTTGCAGAATCTTGATTTAAGTAATGAAATTTCCTGTGTACTTATTAAAATGTATCTACAAGAATATTGGGCTCAAGTGTCACCATTTAATTCAGTTGTGATTCTAAACAGTCTTTTAACTGATTTCTTGAAGGAATCGGCGAGGCTGGGGGCGTTAAAGAGAGTCGAAGTACCAGAGCCCCGAAAAATGAAAAGCGTTCAAAAGTTTTGAAAATTCAAGCTTCATGAATTTATTGTTCCTATTTTCGAAGAAACGGCGGATTATTTATGCTTGTTGGTTTTTTATTCAGTCAATTTTTGACTAATTAATAAGGCGTGATTATTTTTCGTTTGCGCTGAATTTTGTCCAGTAGTTTATTTGTTTGCTAACAAATTTCTAAGAGGCGGAATGAGTGAGGGACGATTGTTTGGTTTAATTAATTCAACAAAAATTATTTTGGGTTACTGCTGCTGCTTATGGTTTACTACGGGGGCTGAGTATCTGCTGTTCTCGTATAGTCATATAGTTCGATTTCTGAAAAAATTTCATAAAAAGTTAATAAAATTGAACAAATGTGACGTCAGCCTTTCAGGGATAGAGTGTTCCCTAAAAAAACAAGTGTGACAGAGGGGTCCGCCATCACGCTAGTTCTATACGAAACAGCAATTCAGTAAATTAATAGAAGCCACTCGGTCGTTTTCAAATTGTACTCGCAAACGTATTTGATCTTTTTAAATTGTGCTAACTTATTCGATGCTTTAATTGTCATCACCGAAGCAATAAACTAAAAAATTTTGAGGCACTATATTTGACGCTATCGAAGGGAATCGTTTAGTTTTTTGGGACCCCTAGATGGCGTCCCTTATGATGGAGAGACTGTCGGAAAATTAGTTTCAGCCACTCAAAATTGAGTATTCAAAACTCTCAAAGGAAATTGCGAAAATCTCAAATTATGCAAAAAAAATCCAGTCCGCTATACTAAGTTGAAAGGTTGCAAAATAATCAAATATATTTGTTTGCGTATTTGCAATCGGTTATTTTGTTAGCTTGTTTTGCTTTCTGACAATATTTTGTCCAATATTGTCAGATCGAAGACGCATTAGAAAACATTTACAACTTCAAGGAAAACTTCTGTGCAATTTTGGTACAAATTGTACTGCAAGTTGTGGCTGTGCAGCTAAAATTGTTTTTTTTTGCTAATTTTGACTTTTGCAAAAACCATCTAGCGAATAGGAGCATCTAACGATTCTGATTGTTGGAAATATTTCATCATTTGATTGCTCCATCTTATTCCGAAAAATTGTTCCGACTGATCAACTCACCCCTGCTGGCGTTGATGATTGTCCCCCCACAAATTGAAACCCTGCCTTTAGTGTTATCTGGCTTATCAATCTGCAGATACACAGCCCACGGATGTTGGCTGTAGTCGGCGTCTTTCCCGTTGACCACACGGTTGCCGGAGTCTATAGTCCCCCAAAGAGACTCAGAGGCGAAAATTGCAGATATAGATATGCAGAAAACATGGACCAAAATTGTTGAAAACCTGTTATTTACAGGTAGCTGTGTTCTCAAGTGACAGCTTTTCATCGTCATGCAGTAGTTTGCATGCTGTATTTTTTATTTAGAAATGTATGTGTAATATTTTTATTTGGAAGAACTTGATTAAAACAGTGGAAAAGTAGCTCGTTGTGATTTGGTTTCTAAGTAGTCAGAAGTCAAAACATTTTTGTTTCCGTGCTTGAGTAATTTTACCGCGAAAGTCGTCCAATTAAATTTCATTTCAGACGTAAATCTTTTCCAAATTTATTGTTTCAGAAAATTGGTTTCCTATAGCCTAGATTCGTGAAATCTTTTTCCGATTTGAGCTTGATTTGGTAAAATATTAATAGGAATTTCTCAAGTTTGTTTTCTCTTTTTTTTTAAAGCAAAGAAATGAAAAAGAGCAGTCTGTTGCTGTGTGGGTAGGACATAACTCGGACCACTTATACCTTTCTCTGATCTAATTAAGTTTTTTTTCGTGTTCGCACATGCTCAAAGGAGTGTTAATATAGCGTAGGATTTGTTCCACGTTATTGTACGAACCTCATTTATTTTGCAAAATTAAACAAAATACGACCCGCGATGTTTGTGGGCGCAATAGCAAGATTACCAAGCCGCTTCTGAGACCCTAAATGGTTTACATGGCAAGTTTAGTTTCAGTGCGTGGTAATTCGATAACGGAAACTATTATCATGTCTATGAACTCTTAAAGGTCTTTAGGGTCTTCGAACCCAAGACGCAATGGCTAAGTGATTAAGGCAAGTGATTCGCAGGTCCGAACTCCAATCCCGTTGTCTCAATTGTAATCCTGATTTTCTTTTGAGGTATTTTTTTTGCAGTTTTCTTAGCTGTATTTTGTAGCTCTTTTCGCCGATTTATTGTGTACAGCTTAAATTCTATTGGAAAGTTTATTAGTATGTGGTTTTTCGCTTGAGTTGAGGATGCTTTCATTTGCTGCCTGATAATGATTACTTAAGTGTTTGTGAAAATTTTAACCATAAGATCTCCACTGCTGATTTGTCCAGGGGACTGTCTGAGTGTTTCACTCAGTAAGTAGTAGGTTCGAAGCTCGCTGTCGCTAGGTTTTTGCAGGCTTATTTTTACATCCCACTTTTTGTATTTTGGTGAAATGTTAGAGCTCATTTTGCTCCTTTTGTTGCTTTTTGTGAATTGGAGCTTTTCTGCTGTGGAAAATGATGTTTACACAAGCAAAGCTTATGTGATAGTGTGACCTCTCTTTTTTTCCAACTTTAGTCGCAAATATTTGTGTTCTTGTTCATTTTGAAAGTGTTCATTTTGATCAATAACCAGCTATTAAGTACAGCCAATGCTAAGGATATTAAGACAGACTATTATATTACAAAAAGCAGTTTAGCTTCAAGGTATCATGGATCTGTAGCGTACAGGTAGGAAAGGAGAACCGTAACAAACTAAGAGAGTTCGAACCAGGGCAGGGTCGGATGTTTTTAATGAACTTTTTCATGTATTAGTTAAAAAAAATTTTTTCAAATTGATTGGTACTGCTAATCCGTAATAATTGGCTTGCTTGCGTCACTTAGCAATTATGTAGGTCAAAATTGGCGTGAGTCACTAAGAAATTTTGTAGTCTCGGAGTTTTAATCATTCAGTTATTCCCAGTAGCGTTATCGGTCATATTTTTGCTTGTGTATGCGAAGTGCAACTTCGCCTTCGTTTAATATACAGTGTTTTTTTCTGAGTTTCCAAATTTTCTTGCATAAAGTTTTCATTTTATCTTCACCCATCGTTGCGTAGTTTTGGTTAATCTAATTTCAACTGGGTGATTTCGGGTCAAAATACATGTTTTTCCATTGATCGTTCGTCCGTCAAATTTCTTTCTCAAAAAATTTATTGCTTGAGTCGACTGTTATTGCTCGTTTGAAACGGCTGGTGACAGTTCACAATAAACAAATGTTAGCGCTAAAGTTATCTTATTTGAAGTCAACAATGAAAATTGTAACGCTATAAACTGTTTTTCAAAAGGTGTTATCGGCCTTTTACTTTTTGGCATTCACAGTCAGGTTTGAAACTAGAGTTTTTGATAGAATGAGGGCAGGGGATGCAATTACCGTTATTTACACAGACCAGCTACCCACAAATGTTATGAATCCATTTTTTTCGAACTCAACTCGCGAATAAAAGTGCGCATTTTGTGGCACTTTTGGTAGATTTCCAATCATCGGTTATTTAATAGCATAGGTGCCTGCTTTAATGGTTGCTAGTGTTATTATACTTTCAAGCAACCGTGTCGCAGATGCTAGGACGTGAAACTCCTAATCTCGAGGTCAAATATTCAGGTTTGAACACTAGAAAATGACCGTATATTAGTTTTTTTTTTGTTGACAGCTTCCGCGGAAGCTTCAAATGGTCTGATTTTCCCGTGAATTTTTCTTCACTGCCTTTTAAAGTTAATGCGATAGTGAGGATTTGCAGTTGAAAAAACATGATTGCTGATGTATAAATTGATTTATACGCATCTTGCTGACTGATTGCCACCTCTAAAAGGGACTAACTCAACGGTTACGCATATATGAATTTTTTACATAGTATAATTTCTCCCCCTTTGCAAGAGGGGGGGAATAATTAAACATATATGAATCTTTCGCCAGATTGAACGATTTTTCTTTGAGGCTTCGATGAGATTCGTATCAAAAATCTGCGGTGTGCCTCTGCGCGAAAAAAAAATCAACCTGTAGTATGTCGTTTCAGTGGTTCCTGCTCAATATCCGTTTCCGAGATTTCTTTCATGTGACCTGAATCTTGTTGGTTGACTGAGTCGCAGCCAGGTGTTTGCTGGATGGATATATGACCTAAAGATATTTCGACGGAAAACGGTTCCCAGATGTCGTTATTTCAACTAGTCGTGTTAGAGGATAAGAAAATCTGATTTCCATACCGAGGTTTTTCTCAACTTGTAAAGCTGCTTTAAGTTCTTTTATAAACAATTGAGTAATTCAGTGCAACTAAGTATTCGGAAGGAACTATGCCGTAGGGTGTGTTTTCTTCCAATATATCAGGTAGCACAAGCACACGTCATTCGAAGTCAAATGAGATATCATTTTCAAGCCATTTCAGCTATGACTTGTGTTCCAAAAAGGTATTTCAAAAAGTTTTATTGTTCCAAAGAGTTGTGTCGAGAGAAACATGTCTGAATTTTTATGTTTTTCATACCAAGTTCAGCGTGGGAGTGGGTGAGAAGGGGTTGCGTTCTAATTTTGGCATTAAATTAAGCTTATTCAAGCTATTTTAATCTAATTTTTGAAGCTAAATGGCATTTTCAAACGAATGAGAGTTCGATGACAACTGGATCGGAACTTTGTGCTTCTTGTCAGTAACCGGTTACTCCTGTTTCTTTTTATACTTGCGAGAAAAATTGTTTTCCGGTACAAATTAAATTGATCGCGTTTTTCCTTGGGCTGCCTAAATTTCCGGCTTGAGAATTCCGACTCTTAAGTTCCTTTCATTTCATGATAGTTATTCGAGCAATGATGATATTTTCCTTAATAGCCCCTCATAAAGCACCTAATGCAAAAAAAATGCATTTTTTGCACCTAAGATTGGTGATAGCTTGAAGGTCGATAAATAAAACCAAGCTTAGGTTTTTTTTAGCTCGCGAGGGCAAGGTACCGAAAAGTTTTCCGTCATAAATATGTTTTATGTTCTTTCTTTATGCAAAAGATGATTGTCATGAAAATCAATTCTATTTTAACCTTTTCAGCATCTATTTCAATGTAATAATCAAAACTAATAAATAACCCATCATTTGGTCAATAATAGAGATCTGATTAACTTCTTCTATCTAGTTCTAAATCTAGCAATCATCATGAAGGATCGAGTATCTTTTTCAATCCTCCAGCTTCTAGATGTGCTTTAGACGAATTATTCTCTTTTTCTTCATCAGTACCAGACTCCGGTTCCGCCGATGAGGATGTTTGCGTCCAACTCAAACGATGATGTCGCCATGATCAATCAAAGGATGTCCTTTATATCCTCTAAGGATTCAGGTGAAGGTGGAATGAACCACTTAGGTTTCGAAGTTTGAATCAACTGAATGTAATAGTAGATATCTGAACGAATGAGAAACTTTGGAGTATCGTAGGATCTTATCAGTTTATCAAATGAATACTTGACCGGAGCTGCCACTGAAGTTTACTTTTGAGGGCTTGAGTATCTGTCAGTCAATTTACCAGACGCGTGACCTTAAACTCACGCGCTTTCATCAAATAAGCAGTGGCTGAGTGTTCTAAACTTTGATGACAAAGGTATCAATGGTATGCCGATCATTTTGAAAAATATTGAGTGGGTTGAAAGAGGATATTCATGACCTAACTGTTCAGAAACTTGACTGAATTCTTTAGGAAACACGACAGGGACGAATTAGGATTTTCTCGAGGATTGGGGTGGCTCTTCTAACCTAATTTCAAAAATCTAATCTAATTTTAAAAGGTGAAAAATACGTGTTTTTTTTTGAAAAGTTTGCCCAAATTATCGATATCGCGTTTTTTGACGCGCTTTCCCAGTTTATAATGCGTTGGTGCCGAAAGAGCATTTTATCAAAATTTTAGTCTATTTTAGTCTAAAATTTTAATATTACCAAAGGGGGACCCTAAGGGTATTGAGTGGATCGAATTCCTGCGAAGATGCCCTAAATTCGACTCTGAAGTATATTTGTTCCTGTGTTATGGCTAAGTAAAAGTTTTCTTCAGATTTCATGAACTTTTTCTGAACCGGTTGGGAAGCTTGAATTGAGAACAGGCTAAGTTCGTGTGAAATCAATAATCTGGACGGGGAAACTTCAGTGCAGGCGTGGACTAACATGGTGGCATCTGCACCCTCATCTGTCGCGTCCTCTCTCGTCCCGCAAGTGGACAAATGGCCCTTCTGGATCGGAATTGGACTCACAACTGGTTCGTTTATAAATAGTCACGACTTACGAGGTACTTATAGTACTAACTCAGAAATTAGATAAGCTTTTCCGCGCGGTGGAGAAATTTTTATCCTTGCATTTTGATATATATCAATCAATGTAGACAAGTGAGGAATCACTAATTCACGCGCAATGTACACCACTCGTGCTGAATATAAGCACAACAGAGCTAGTAATCGGTAGTTCTTTTTCAATATGTGGCGTGTTCGCTTTTTAATCAAGCAAGTTCCTAATTGTGTCTTGTATTCCGATATGTTGGTCGTTCCGAGATGATAAATATGTTTAGTTGTCGCGGCGAAATAAAGGCACCAAAATTCGCATCAAAAATTATCGGTCTTAAATTCCCAATAGGTGTTTTATAAGTTTTGTTGCGCTCCGTCAGTGATGGTGCCCAGCAATCAATCATATGATAGCTGGTTCCAATCGCAAATGCGCTGTAATTTGTTAGGTCAGCTCCTGCAAGTAAGTCATAGCTTAAATGGGCGCTGGTTCTATGCGCTATTGTCAGCCTAATTAATTAACCTTTGGGTTAGGCCTCCGGGTTGGTTGACTAAAGAAATACGAATTCTTCCATCGGAGGACATTTGGATATCGTAATACTGAACCGTTCACGCATAGATGTTGCTATAAAATTTCATACCATTTTTTTTCTGAGGATCTTAAGATTTTAAGGATGCCCTCCAAAGACGGATCTAACAGAAATTCACCATTCAATGCTGTTTCGCTATCTTTTTTTTTCATTGCCAAGCAACGCATATATAATCCTCGATTGTTACTTGAGCGATTACATTTTTTTATGCTATGTAAATGTCCTGATACATAATAAGGCTGAGTATACTGTCTGAAAATTAGACTTGCTTCATTTCGACTGCTTTTGTTTTAGACTCAATTGCCGTCCACTCAATTTCGACTGCTTTTGCTTTAGGCTCAATTGCCGTCCACCCAATTTCGACTGCTTTTGTTTTAGGCTCAATTGCCGTCCATTCAAGACTTAGTTGTCGCTCGTCAATGTTTCCGAATCGTTTGAAATGGCTTAGTGGCTTCCGTCTCACTTTCTGTTTGATATCTTACCATACTATGCTTGTTTTGTATTGAAAAAATTTGCTAAGCTCCGCTTCGCCTCTTTGCAATAAGCTGCGTTTGAAAACGTCCATATGTTTTGTATTTTTGAGGAGGCTGGACCATTTTTTTTGAATGACCAATTATTGGGTATAAAGCAGTTTATTGACGTATTATGAAAAAATCGTGTAAATTATAATCGTATAATCCGTCTATCATATAACGTATAATCTTATGTTGTGTAAGGTTTTTTTGTATATCGTATAACGTGTACAAAACACTGGTATGAAGATAATAAGCATTTTTAGGAACTTCACAATTTCTTATAATCAATACATTTTAAAATTTTAAATTATGCTTGTATGTGTAAGACTTTCAGACCAGTTTTAGACTTTCAATTCAGTTTCTGACATGCTTGACAATTTCTCGGCTGATATAGAGAATTTTGCTCACAATCACGAATTGTAAATATCTGAATTGTTTTTTCATTTTCAATTGTTGTTTTTTCTGCAATCTGAGTCTTGAAAGAACCAGAAATGAAACGTATATGTAAAAATTTTTGTTCATTTTATCAAAAATTTCTTAGAACTTTAACTTTATTCAGCCAGCTTCCTTTAAAAAAAATAACTTTTTTTTTCTGTTTTGCAATTTCTTTCAGGAAAAAATATTGAAATTTGTTGATGCTCGAGTTTTTCAAGTGGTTTGATTTTTGTGGTTTGATTTTCAAGTTCAATATAAATTTAATTGTTAAGCGGAAACCATGAAGCAAGAAAACACAAAAAAGGGGAAAAATGTACCTTGTGATAGAAATTTCCAAACTTAGGCTAGTTCTTTAAAAATGTCAATCGTAAAAGATTTCAAAGAGTTTCAAGGTATTAGGTTTTTTTAGTAAGAATTGAATTTTGAAAAATATCTAAAAAAAATTCAATGATTTTATTTTTTTGATAATTTAATTGCATTTTTACGCAAGGTGAGCCTACTGACTTATTACGGTATCCGCTTTTTTCCGACCTAAGTCGGAATTAAAACAGCTCTTATTTGATTTACTTTTGCTGCAAAGCATTATATTTATGTTTTATCGTTATTGGTGGCTAGTTCTTGTTCATAAAAAATAAGTTTTATGAAAATATATGGGATATGTTTCTTTAATTGTGATTTTAATTCTTTTTCGAGATGTACTTAGACGATTTTCAAAAAATGTTACCAATGGAAATACCGGCTACTCGGCTGTTTGCCTGCATAGTCCACTGGTCTCCCTTTACTTAGTCGACATTCTACAGCCTTCGAAAATTTCAGTTGGGTTTATTTCCTACTTGTTCGGAGAGTTTTTTATTTTCTCGAATGCTATCCTGCTAAATCTGAGATAAATGATTCAATCAAAACAGAATTATATAGGGTTTAGCTATGCATAAACTGCTTTGCCCTAATTTTTGAAGAAAAAGAGTTACGGCCGTAGAAAATGTCAAGTTTTTAACCGTTTTTCTGGAAAATTCCCGTTCTCGAAATCTTTTTCAAATCTTAGATTAAGGGCTCAATCTTAAAAACCAGTTTTATGAAACCTAATCCCATAAACGGCCATGCCCAAAAAAAGATAATGAACGGCCGTAGAAATTGTTTAATTTGGAAATTGTCAATTTTCTCTTCTTCAGTGGTGTTGCCCTTTCTTATTGAAAAAAAATTTCGCCTTAGAAATAGTAAAATTTTTGAAGTTTTGCCGGTGTATGGAAACTTCTGAGTTTTCACGATAACTTCTCTGCCGAATCGAAATAAGGTTTTCAATCGAAAGAACATGCACTAAGAAGTTTCTCTGCATAGCAACTACGCTCTTATTTTAGAGGAAAAGCCACGTTAGACCTAGCTTAAGTCCAATTTTTGAAATTTTTTTCGTTTGTGGAAACTTCTTGGTTTTCTTGAAAACTACCCTTCGAAATCTGAGATTGTTGTTTGAATCGGTAAGAAAAGACATTTGGAATTTTCTCTGCAGAAGCATCTACGCTCTAATTTTTTTGTAGGAACTTAGTTTTGGACCTAGAAAACAAAAGTCTATTTAAAAGCAAACTTCGGCCTGTTTTTGAAGCGGTTCTGCTGAAAATGCTCCAAATCGGAGATAAATTGTTTCATCGAAAGAACAGGTGCTAGTTGAAAATTTTTGCAAATTTACCTTTTTGCATCAGTACATTTTTTATAATATTATCAAACAGCTGGACCTTAAGTGTTCAACTATTGCGAGGCGGCAATGGCGCAGATGCTAGGACGGTTTAAGTTCGATGCTTCGATTCCGTTACATCAGAACTTAAGTTTTAACCTTTCTTTCCTTTTTTCTTTTTTTGACCCTTATAGATCTAATCCTCGACTAAACGTTTGTTTGCGAAGTGCAGCTTCGCCTCCATGTATCATTTTTGATGATTTTCGCTTTTGGTATTAATGATGAAGGGAATTTTTACCATGCGAAACTTTCTAAAAGGTGAAATAATGAGCCTTTAACTCGCCGCAGCTGGCTTCATTTTTTTGAAGATGTCCGAAATTTTGTTCATCGTTTTATAGAAAGTACTTACAGTACTTTACGTAATTATTTAAAAAAGAAGGTTGGTTTGAGCCTCAGATCAGGCGTTTTTCTGAGATCAAGATATGTGACTTACCCTGATTTTGTTTGGAAATTTTGACTTTGTCGTCTAGTTTTTGACTGAGTTTGACAACTTTAGGGTGGCTCTTCGAGTTTCTAATAGCTTTTGTGTGTTTTTAGTTTCATAATGCTGGATGTTTGCTGATGTCAAAAACGTTTAGTGGTTGTTCAGGTTGTGTGTTATTTTGCTTTTTGTTAGAAAAAAGTCGGGCTCAAATGTGCATTTCCGCGCTTGAACTTGGAAGGCAAATTACGCTCTCCCACTACGAAAATGCAAAGTGCGCAAAAAAACGACAATGATTTTTAGTTTTGTCATTATCTTTTAACTTTGAGATTTATCTCATTGGTCTAATTTTGTGAAAAATTGAAAAAAGTGGCATTCTTGAAATTCAGATCTTTAACGTGATTTAATTTTTCTTCGAGAATTGAAAAATGTTCAAAGTCAGTCAATCATATTTTTTAGATTTCCTTGAGCTCATTGACACTTCTACTTTCTGAGTCTTCGAAACAAAAAATACGAAGTTTAGCTTCGTCCGCGTTATTTTTGTGGATTGTATTAAATGATATACTCAAAGAAAATCTTTGAAAAACCTCTGTTTTCTCCCCAAGTTGGTTCAGCTGGCGGTGGCGGGGGTGACTGTATGTTCGGTTCCTTTATGCTACAAGCGAGATGGTGTTATACAAGCAGTCCACTTTTTCCAACGTGTTTTGCATATTTTAGTGGCCCATGTGTTATAAATTTTCGCCTTAATTACTCTGCGTATAATCTATCTTTATCCGGTTTCTCTAGCTCATTATTTTCTGCCTGATATCTTTAGGTAAACTATGGGTGAAATTAGATAACGCAATATTGATTTTGAGAGGAATGGAAATACAATGATAAGGATGTCGATATTGACTGTTTCGGATCTGAGGTACCATTGTTGTTTGCTCGTGCATTGTTGACTGCTCTTCTGCGAAGGCAGCAAGCGAAGAAGCGTTTGCCATATCGATCGTCTCAGTGGCCCGCACACAAAATTTTCCCACGGCTAATATTATAACATTATTTTTTATACATTAAGCAAACAGTATTGTATTGGTTCATTGGAATCCGACTGATTTCTATTTTTTACGTAACACAGATTTTGTCCTTAGTGGAACTTAGAACTCCTTTGTGATGTATTAAGTATTAATGAAATCATTTCCATTAATGAATCATGCTGCTCAGAAATTGTCTGAAACTTATGCGGAGCCTTTCGCGTAGAATGTTCACAACGTAGAATTTTGTTCTCTTCGGACGGGGGTCGATGGCGCGTCAAATTCAACAAAGCCACAGATCATCGGATGGCTGAATCCTAATTCCTTTCTGTCAATTCAATTTATTAATAATTCAACTCTAATTCGAGCAGTCAAGCTATTGTGTGAATTCCTTTTTGGACGATGAAATGAAACCTTAATAGGCGATTTTGATTTTTATTTGAAGTGAATTTTCACGTGATCGTCTTTTTACTGCCGTGCACTTGGCCTGTTCCCAGGAGAAAATATTATTGGTTCCAGATAAATATCTGCTGAGAAGGACATCTTTTTAACCCTTTCATCATTCTTTCTGCTGGTTTGGCCTGATCAATACCTGTCGTTGACACTCTTAGTTTTCAACTCCGCTCTCCCATCAGAGAAAAGAGAAGCCAATTTCAACAGCCTCTTTGTTCTTTCCCTTCTTCAATTTTAGAAAGGATTTGAAAGTAGTTAGCTGGATACCTCCTTAATAGGTATAATTTCGATTTTAAATCTTTCATCCACCAAAAAGATTCAAGTCGGTTTGTGAATTGTTGTCACGACCAACTGGAATTATAAGAGTTAACTACCAATAACTCCCATTAAACTCCCAAGATCCCCTTAAATTAGTAATTTTCTTCAAAGAGTTTCCTCGCTTGACTCGCTTGAATTTTTTCCGCGATTATTTGCCTTGAGGTCTGCCAGTTAACTATTTCAAACCGAAAGATCGCCAAAATGCTTCCAAAATATCTGGCTCTCATTCTCAGTTTTGTCCTGGCTCTTGATGCGTTTGCGTTCCACACACCCAGAGGCATGGACCAGTTGACGGGAGCCCACCACGAGGCCATGTGTGACACGGAAGACGACTTCGCTTGTCACTCTGGATCGGTGGCCTGCATTCCGGGCAAGTGGGTCTGTGACGATTTCGGAGACTGTGATGACGGCAGTGACGAATTGTTTTGTATCGACGGAGTTCCAGTGTTTATGGCTAGTCGCGGTTAATAAAACGAAGAAATCAAGTTCGGATTGGAGCATAGTCATTGAACGCTTGAAAATTCGAAGACCCCGTCTTCTGTACTTTGAGAACTAACTTAAAATCTTCGCTTATTTTCCATTAGTGTCTAAACAATTTAAAATTAATATCTAACATCTTATTCTTTTGTTTGTGTTTTCATTACGAGTATGATATTGCCGATTACTTAGTTGATTTTCAAGGCAGGGCGACAATTCCTAACAGGCGACAATTCGTAACAAGCGACAATTCCTGGTAAGGCATTGGCATGGGCAAGGAAAAGACACTTGCCCCCCTGCGCTTACATCCGGCACGAGAGGAATACTTCGCGTGAATCAGTGTTCACCGCTTGATCTACTGTTATGAATTGTCGCTTGTTACAAATTGTAGCCTGTTATGAATTGTCGCTTCACGGATTTTCAAATGTCAATGAACGAATAAGACACTTGTTTCGGTCTTGCGGATTTTTTTAGGCAATTTTTTTATAAGATGTCCTTGTTGATGATTATTTTTTTTTAAATCCCAGTGTGACTAGATTATTTTCTAAAAGTTAACTTATAATTAATGTGTTGATTGGAAGGCAAACTACGCTCTCAAATTAAAAAAAATGGTGCAAAAAAATTCTCAGCGTAATGGATAAATTACCCAGCACAAAATAAAACTTTTTTTCCTATGTTTTGAAAATGACTCTTTTGTATGATTGAATTGTCAAATGACCATTTTTGAACTACAGTTGCGTTGATTAGTGGCTTTTAGTAACTCTTGAAATTGGTTACTCAAAAGCTTTGAAAAATGTGGAATTAAAATAGGTAAATTAAAGAGCCGAGGTTTAACACAGAAATGGATATGAGAAACCGAGCGATGCGAAGTTTTTGTTTCATTTTCATATTGTTAATGCTGAGCTTAATGTTATCATTTTCGATTCAAATTTAAATGTTATCAAATCGTAATGTAGATTTTTTTTTCTGGTTAACAACTATTATAACACAATCAGTTGAATTAATTAATTGCTGCTGAAATGCTCAATTTCAAATAAAACTACCTTGTCTATGTAGTAAATAGGTGGAGTACGTTCTGGGCATTAATTGTTTTTTCTAACAAATTTCTTGAGAAACGGTTGAATTTTTTTCGGATTCGTGGTTTTTGGGCCTAGTTTCCGTCGGCTCATTTTCCGTTTATTAAATGGCATTTATTTTATCTGGTACTAATTTTAATCGCCCTGCTTTAAAAGCATGAATTTTATTTTGATTTAAATTTTTTCTGAAAGTTCTGTAATTTGTCATTTTACCAAGTCTGAGTTCGAATAATTTTTTTTCGGTCAAACTGTTTCGGCTTAATTGTATCGGATAACTCAATTTATTTTGCGTACGTTCGAAGGCCGAAAGTTCCTTTTCGACAAAATCAGATGTATGGGATTGGGTTTTTGTTTAACGCTTTGACCCTTTTCGCAATTCTTTCATTTTTGTAAAATTTTCAGTTCAATAGAAAACTACTTTTTGATTTTCAAAAAAAGATATCGATAAAAAGAAATCCTGCTCATATGTGTGCTTGTATAATCTTCCAATCTTTTTTTAACTTTACCGTACTCTCTACAGCCTTCGAAGTACGTCCCATTGGATAGAAAGGTTTGTCGAAGTTTTTCTGCATAGGAGGCTTCGCACAATTTTTTTATACAACAAGTTATGGCCCTCGGAAGTGTCAATTTTTTTCTGTTTTGAGTTTTTTCTTTTCTCGAAAACTATTGTCTTAAGTTTTGGGTTCAATCGAAATAATGGGTTGAGGGAAGCTGACCTGAATGATTATGGCCCTCGAAAAAACTAATACTTGATTTTTGTACTGTTTTTTCAAACTATTTGACTTTTCTCGAAAACTACAGCTAATTATTATGTTAAGTGTTCAATCGAGAAACCCGATTTTGGATGTCCTTGTTTTGCTTGTGGACAAAAAAGTTTTTGAATATTTGACCGTTTTGTTTTTTGGACTTTTCTTAGACACTACCCTATGAAATCTGAGATGAAGGTTTCAATCGAAGGAGCCGTTTGCAATTTTTTTTCCTACAGGAGAGGCGACTCCTCAGTATAACAAATTCCAAAAATTTTTAACAGTTGCCTCTAGCTTTAGCTGGTCCCCTAGTTATCTTTTATCGAGATTTACGAAAATTTTGGTTCACCGAGTTTTTTCACATTGCTCATTTTTTTGCTTACTTTTCTTATGTTCGTGTTGTATCGCAAGTGGTGCGAAGGTCCGCTTCGCCTCTATGTATTAATTTTATAACGCTTTTTTGGGTTTACAACTTGTTTAACAAAATCACTTGGTATCTTGGCTCATAAAGAATTCAAATTTATTAGCGTCTCCAGCACGCATACTCTGGAAGTGACGAATTTGCATCAGACGCTGATGTCCTGGGTTCGAATCTGACCATCTGTTTTTTTTAACGAGAAATTTATTTTTCCTGCATATTTTCAATTTGCTTTATTATTGAACCTTATTAACTTTGTTAGTGGTGAAGCCGTCGCCTTTGCCCTCTAAGGTCCGGGGTTCCAATACTAAGGTCCGGCCTTTGCCCTCTAAGGTCCGGGGTTCCAATATGCAATTGAAAATTTTGTTTGTTAAAAATTGATTGGTCGGACTTTTGTTTATCTGCCCAAGTTTTGACGGCGTAGTTGCCACATCACGGCGTAGTTGCCATATCAGCTCAAAGATTGTCGGCTTTCTTTCCGCTTCATAAGTTTTGTTCTGTTGCTAAAAGAAAATTTCAAATGTCTTGCTTGGCATGTTTGCCTTAATTTCCAGCTTGATAAAAACAGGTCCTATGTAATGGCATGGGATAGGGTTTTTTTAAATTTTTTTTGAGCCGCTTTGAAAAATTTTTTTTTTGCAGTTTTTGCAAAAATTGTAGTTCCTCGAAAAGTTTCCTACCAATTTTCGAGGAACTAAAGTTTACTACCATTTTTCGAGGAAGTTCAGTTTCCTACCAAAAAGGAGTATCTATAGAAATATAGCCTACCCCCCTGTTTGGTATGCCCAAATTTTTTTAAACCAAAAGTTATCGCCCTCGGCAAAGTCAAATTTATGATTTTTTGAACGTTTTTTGGAATTTTTTGACTTTTCTCAAACTACCCTCCTGAATCCGAGATTTAGGGTTCGATCGAAAGGACGGGTTGTGGGAAATTCCTTTGCATACACGGCTACGATCAAAAATTTTTCACTCTTCGGAGATGGCAATTTTTTGATTTGTTGACCGTTTTTTTTGGGCTTTTCTTGAAAACTAGCTTGACAAATCTGAGATTGTGGATTCAATGGAGATAACGGGTAAGCTCCACTGCCTTAGTGGTTTTTCACAATCCCATTATCGGCATCAGAAAAGTCCAATTTTCGATTTTAAGACGTTTTTTTAAAATTATTTTGATTTACTCGAAAACACTCTCCCTCATCTGAGATTTTGGGTTCAATCCAATAAACGGGTTTTAAGAATCTCTTTTGCATACGCAATTACGCTCAAAATTTTAGACTGAAAAAGTTATGGATTTCTGAAGTTTTTGAACTTCTGACCGTTTTGTAGAATTTTTGAACTAAAACCGAGAGGAAAAATTCAATAGAAAGAACCGGTTACGAGAATTGTTCCCGCTGAAGCGGCGATTTCTGATTTTTTTGTACGAGAAATTTTATTTCCTTGGGAATTTTCCAATATCTCAAAAATGTTTACTCTTCTCACTTATTTTAGTAGGGAACAACTAAGGTCTTGGGCAAAGTCTTCGCATTTCGTTTCAAGTCATTTTAAGAAATTCAAAAAAATCAAACATTTACTTCCATCGTTAGTTGGGTCAATAAGTGTCTTTTATAGAGACATACGAAAATTTTGGTTCACCTATTTTTTCGACGTTTTTCAACAATTTGGTTCACCTATTTTTTCGACAGTTTTGCTTCGACTCTATGTTATTATTGTTCCAATCATTGAAAAGGGGGAGGAACTTTGTATTCAGGTGTGTATTTTTTTTCTTTACCACGCAAAATTAGGTACCACAAAAAATCATTGGAATGGGTCGAGTGATATATCATAATAAAACCCTTTCAGCTATGAATCGGTCTGAAATTCTGGAATATTTGAATTTAATTTTGAGTGAGTGAGTAAAGCGATTGAGTAACTTTCTTCGTAAAAAATTTGCTGAATTTGCGTTTATAATTTTTAAATTTTGTGTAATTTTCACTTCATACCGTGCACAAAAAACTACACTACATTTTCTAAGCTTTTTCTGAAAGAAGTTTTCTAGCTTTTTTTATGATTATGGTCGGAACATTTTGTGCTACTTGCACAGCAACTGGCTATCCTCGTAATTACCCTTGCAATAGGCAAGGTATTGCAATCGGGTATTAGACTTTTCCGTAAATAACTTCCTTTGCAGGACTCATCTCCTGGACTCCTTCGTCTACTGGGCCTCTCTGTTGCAAAAGACATATTTGGACTAAGATTTGTTTTGTTAGTTATACATTTTTCGAAATTGTAGAGTTTTTTTCGGTCATGGTTTTTTTCTGCTCATGTGTTTTCGGCTTTGTTACTACTTGGTAATTACAATTTTAAATTAAATCAACCACACGGCGCATCTGGCGAAGAGTTCAATTCTGGTCGATAGTTTTTTTTGCCCGGAGTTCAAGTTCGGGAGTTCGATTCCAGTCGAGACCAGTTTTTTGCAAACTGAATCTTTTCGGCTACTTCAAATTATTGTCTGTCTTCTTGTTTTTGTCGGCTGTTCCGAAAAAGGATTTTTTGAAAATTCGGCTTCTTAGTAGCATTCTCAAAGGTTCTTGTAAAGTATCTAATGCTGCAAATAGTTTTTTACGGATATTTTGGGCTTTTGTCAAAACTGTTATGGTTTTTATTGACAAAATAACTACTTCATTTTTTTTTCGTTTGATTTTAAAGATAGTCTTTTTTTTTGCATCGCAAATTTTGCAAAGCTCAGCTTCGCCTCTGTGTTATAATTACTATAAAGTGAATTTATTAATGCACTTTCAGCAAGGATTCAGAGCAGAGTTTCGTTAAAGGTTTGTTTTGGATTTTTGCATATCATGCATGCCTAAAATCTAGGCTTTGTTCTGGAGCTCTCATCACACGAGGAACGAAAAACGACACGGTTTTTTTTTCAAGTTTTTCTATGATTGTTTCGGAAGTTTCTATGTAACTTACTCATCAACTGGTTCTCACTTAGATCGTGTGTTTTGTATTTTTGAGGTTAAATTTGACATTGCTAGAATTTGATTTGACCCTGGTGTTTTTCAAGTTGTTGAAGTTGAGACAAATTATGCTCTCCAATGACGAAAAATGAAATGGCTCAAAAAATGTGAATTACTTGTAGTTTCAAAAGTGGTTTCTATTTTCAGAATTCCTAGTGGAATAAAAACGTTTCGTTCCAGTTTTCTCTAATTGGATTAGTTTTGTAAAAAAAAAGTGTCATTCATAAAAGATTTTGAAATTCGAAAACTCGAAAAGCGTTAACGTGATTTACTTTTTTTCAAAAGTTGGAAAGGTTCAAAAGAAGGCAGCCGTTTTTGTTTCCTTTTGCTCATTGAAATTGTTCTATCTTTCTGTATCAGAAATGATGCGAAGTTCAGCTTCGCCTGTTAAATTTGTTAATTGAATACTTTGAGATTGAATTTTCTAAAAAACGCCTATTTCCACCGTACGTTGGTTCTTTATTTTAAGAGCGAGAAAGCAAACAGTGTTATTTGAGCAATCAGCTTTTTTCCAACACATTTTGCACATGTTAAGGGATCATTTGTATAATTTTATGCGTTAATTACTCAGCATCTGATCGATCGATCCATCTTCAGTCAAGTTCTCTAAAGCGAATTAGTTGCTGCCTGATATTCAAGGGAAATCTATGGGTGAAAATTGATCAGGCGAAATTTATTTTGAGAGTAATGAAAATATCATGATAAGAATGGCGATATTGACTGTTTCGGATCTGAGATACCATTGTTGTTTGCTCGTACATTGTTAACTGCTCTTCTTCGAAGGCAGGTATCGAAGGAGCATTTATAATTTTGATCGTCTTAGTGGTCAGCCAACAAATTTTTACCGGGGCAAATTTTAGAAAATTTGTATACATTATGCTTAGTTCATTGGAATCCAATTGACAATTTGTTAATATTTCAAAAGGATCTTGACCATTTATATAGCATGAGATAACTCTGCTAAATGAAGCTTATTCGGTGATGCTTGTGTTTGGGTATAATAATGAGGCGTGGTTAAGGAATTTTGGAAACTCGTGGCTGAGATGTGAAAGCGTTTGACCATGAATCTGGATCTCCGTGGATCGATTCCTGTTTTCTGTTAAAACTTTTGTTTTTCTATAATTTTAGTTTTTTTTTGGCATAGAACTATAGTGTATTGCAGTTTTTCAGCTCTTTATCGAATAGTTTGTTACTTCTATTTGCGAAGGGCAACCTTCGCCTTTGTTTCAAAATCCATATCTTCTTGAACAAGTCCTGAAGTTTTTTTAAAAAGAATTTAAAAACTATAATAGCAATTTTTTGCTCTACTTACTCAGCAAGAGGCTAGTCTTTACTTTTCATTGAATTATTTCTACTTTATGTGCTTTTTGAGCCGACCACGGAAAGATACTCAGTTTTGCAGTAAACAGATATATATTTTTTTAGTCTACAGATTAGTTTTTTGAACTACGAGAGAATTGACTTCTTGGTTTTTTGAGCTGTTTCGTTTCGACAAAAAGCTTGAGCAAAAAATTCGACTGAAAGCGTTTTGAGCAAATGGTTTGTGTGTAGATTCTTGAGCGAGCTTTTGCAAAATTTAAAGAAAATTATAAACAAAAAATCATGTACCGAGGTTTGAGATCATGTATCACGTTTTGAGATGCTATCAAATTTTCATTTGCAGTATATATCAATTTTAAAAGGATTTTCTGAAGCAAGTGGTTAGAATTGAGGTTTGAAACACTTGTCCAATCATAAACGAGCAATCTGTATTGAATAACTGGCATAACATTCGATTGTGTTACCTAAGCATTACCATTGCATTTTTTGAAATAACTCCAGAGTGTTTCCCTAATATCAGCTTGATTGGGTCCAATAGAAAAAATTCGCCATCCGATTCGCTGCATGAAATAACTTGAAGTGTGTCAACGTTCGAAAAGCTTGCGAAGAAAAACCTTAACTTTTTTCGAACTGATTCGCTCAGGAAACGACTTGAAATTTATCAAAGTTTCATTGCTCGAATAACTTACGCAGGAAAAACTTCATTTCTTCGCAAAATTGTCTAAGAACCAACTTGAAATATTTTTGTTTCACCGCTTCAGTGGCTTCGACAGAAAAACTGAAATTTTTAGCCTTCCGATTCCCTTCATAAAATGTTTTTAAATATATCAAAGTTTCATAGCTTGAATAGCGTGCTTAGATAAAATTATGCATGAAATAACTTGAATTAATTCCATGTTTCTTAGCATAATTAGCTTGCTTAGGAACAACTCGGTTTTTTCGCGAACCGATTCGGTCTTTGAAATTTAAAATTATTCATACCGATTTACATGGCTTTACTTAAATTTTCTGATGTTTCGTTGCTTGAAAAGCTTTATCAGAACAACAATTTAATTTTTGCGAGCTGATTGATTTTTGGAGACGGGCTTTATTCGGAACATAGCCGAGGATTTTTACTTTTTCTCAAGTTATTGATTTTCACCAATGAGAGTCCATTTTTTAGACCCTAATTTATTGAGAGTCCATTTAGCCAATGAGAGTCCTAATTTAGCCAATGAGAGTCCATTTTTTAGACCTTTATTTATTTTGAAGACCCTGATTTCATTAGAGGGTGGCGAGTCCTGCTCAATTTCGGGTCAATGATTGCCCTGTTCATTTTGATTGCCTGTACGAATTCGCGAAAATTCGTATTGTCTCCTGGGATTATTGCATGACGGAATACAAAATTTGGTTAAATGAAATGGTTAAATCTAAAGCACATTTGTTGAAGTAACGTCATATTGTACTTTATTATTCACTAGAACATTCTTACCACTAAAACACACCAAGTTGAAACGACCAATTAAAATGCGCCACGCCGAAAAGTGATCTATTTGTTTCATTCTCCTAATAATATTCAGAAGCGCGTGCTTTTTTCTTTCCTTGTTGAACAAATTTTTCCAAATAATTACTCATCATTTGCTTGGTCTAAATTTCTGGAGATTCTTTAGGGTTTTATCTCCAAGATTCTTTCGGACAGGATTTTATCTATTGCCTGTGGCGTTTGGGATCGCGTGAACATATTTTAGAGTTGTTCATGTTTAAACAGTTGTAGAAATTGTATGGTTCTGACGACAAGAATGAGTCATCTAGTGTTGCTTTGTTTGACCCTGTGTGGTATCAGTTTGACCTCTGCCCTCTACTCTCCATCTGACGCTGTAGTCCAGCTGACCCCTGCTAATTTCGACTCCCAAGTGACCAATGGGAAAGAGTTGTGGCTAGTCGAATTCTACGCTCCCTGGTAAGTTTGAGTTCATTTTTGTTGATTGAATGAGTCCGAGACTCTTCCACCCCCCCCCCCCCCCCCCCCCCACATTTCAAATTTTCCATTTTTTTTTTCAGTTGTCTTAGGTGTTCTTATGGCTGAATGTGTAATGTTATGATGTAAGGTATGAAGAACAAATGTGTTCACAATAGTTAGTTTGTTCAGCATGCAAAATTTCTTTACAGTATGACAATGTAAAAATTTTTTTTCAAAACTTGAAATTGTCCGATTGTGGTGAAAATTGCTATGCGTACTAATTGGACCATGGCGAAAATTTTAATCTTCATACTCAACCTTGTAAGCCCATACGTTACACCATAAAATTGATGTTTTTGCGAGGTGGAGGGAAAAGGAAAAAGAGCAAGTGTTTGTCTTCATGAAGCTCCTATAAACATAGCATATACATTATTTCTGTTTTTTTTTTGTTTCTGCGTTGCCTTTTTGCTTGGGTAGCAAGAATCTCGGCTCGGACCAAGTTAACATCCGCCCCCCAAAGCCGTGGGATTTTTCAGCCAATTAGAATCGAGCATTTTACATGCAGCGCTTAGCAAATTTATTGCGAATTAAATGCTGGGGTGGAAGATCTTCACTTGGTCATTTTCTTCACTTGGTTGAAAATGAAATTACGGGCTCTGGATCTTGTTAGGCTCTTCTCAAGTTCCCCCCTTTGATTTCTTCTGAAATTCAATATATTGTGGTGTATTTAAAATGACTTTTGTCAATATAAACTGCATTAAAACGTGTCAGAGTGAACAAGTGAACAAATTTTCACATTTCTTACATGCAAAATGCCATGTGAACAATTTTTAAACAGCCTAATTTTGCAATTTTCCGAGGGGGGTGGGAAACTGGAAAAGAGCCAAATTACTTGCTGTTTAGGTGTGGACACTGCAAGAACTTAGCTCCCGAATGGAAGAAAGCAGCCTCTGCATTGCAAGGAGTAGTCAAAGTGGGCGCTGTTGATGTGGACGCCCATCAGGAGTTCGGATCCAGGTTCGGAATCAAGGGTTTCCCAACCATCAAAGTGTTCGGTGCCAACAAGAAGTCTCCTACTGAATACAACGGTGCTAGAACTGCCAGTGGAATTGTAGATTCGGCTATGGCAGAGCTGAAAAAATTAGTTAACGCCAGGCTAGGCGGAAGTGGAAGTAAAGGCGGATCCTCGGGAGGTGGCAGTGGCAACAACAAAGATGTGATCACGCTGACTGATTCGAACTTCGAAGAGATGGTGATGCAAAGTGAAGACATGTGGCTTGTGGAGTTCTTCGCCCCCTGGTGTGGTCACTGTAAGAAATTGGCGCCCGAATGGGCAAGAGCGGCCACTGACCTGAAAGGAAAGGTCAAACTGGGCGCTGTGGATGCCACTACTGAGACAAATCTGGCCCAGAAGTGAGTTTTTTTTTCATCGTGGTTCTTCGCCGTGTGTAGCTTGAGCATCCTCTTAAATTTACTACAGAAACGTCCTCCACCAACGTCCTTTACTACAGAAACGTCCTCCGCAAAACGTCCTCCACCCAACGTTGAATTTAAATTAATTTTGATAAGCGCTGCATGTAAAATGCTCTATTCTGATTGGCTGAAAATTCGAACTCAGAACCAAGTTAGCACCTCCCCCCTAAACTGATTGGGGGGGGGGGGGGGAGGAGGATGTTAACTTGGTCCCAGAAACGCGAAGGGCTCTTTTTCCTTTTCCCCCACCTGCAAATTTTTCGGAGTAAATTTTCTGTTCAGATTGTCAGATTGTTATTAAATTTGGCATACGGACTAATTAGGCCACGACAAACTTATTTGTTCTTCATATTCAATCTAGTAAAACCACTCGTTACACCATGAAATCGATGCTTATGTGAGGTGGGGGGAAAGGAAAAAGAGCCACGCGAAGATATTTTGTCCCCGTTCATACTTTGTTAAAACCGCTACAAATATGTTAAGATGCCGCGGAAATAAATAGGAAAAGACTCACGACTTGTATTAATAGAATATGAGGCTTAAGTTGTCTTCAGATAAAGAGCGTTTGAGATAAATGATCTCTTAATCTCAAATTTCCTTCTCAGGTATGGAATTCGAGGCTACCCCACTATCAAACACTTTCCCTCTGGAAAAGCAGCCAAACAGAGCCCAGTGGACTATGACGGAGGGAGAACTGCGAGTGACATAGTGGCGTGGGCCGAGACAAAAGCAGTCGTGAACTACCCGCCACCCGAATTGACACAAATCATCGACGCCGAAATTCTTAAAGAAGCGTGCACTGAACATTCCGTGTGTGTGGTTACCTTTCTCCCACACATTTTAGACGATATGGCTGTTGGCCGAAATAAGAAACTAGCCCTTTTGAAGAAGATCGGAAACGAGTTCAAGCAGAAGAATTGGGGATGGGTTTGGGCGGAAGGAGGCACCCAGCCTGCCGTTGAAAGCGCAGTCGGCGTAGGCGGTTTCGGCTACCCAGCCATGGTTGTAGTGAACGTGAAAAAGAACGTGTTCGTGACTTTGCGAAGTGCCTTTGATGAAGAACACGTGACCGAGTTGCTGAAGGCTGTTTCGGTTGGACGAGGCAGAACTGAACCTCTTCAGTTGACTGAATTGCCGAAAGTTGACAAAATCGAAAAGTGGGATGGCAAAGATGGAAAGCCTCCTGTTGAAGAGCACGATGAGTTCTAAAGGAGAGTTTGAAGTGACCAAAGTATCAGTTGTTTTTAATCACGCATACTTTGCTTCGAATAGCAGTTCAAGATATCAAAAACAAACAAAATAAATTGTCATTACTGAAAATACAATAATATATGTGGTTAAATTTGTTCGCTTCAAGCTGAAATGTGTTAATAATTGTTCAGTCTTTGGAAGACCCGTGAAATCATGGATTATAAGTAATATAACAATGATGTCCTTATTTGTAAAAAATTGTCTTATGAGGTGTTGTCTTTACGTTTTTTGGAGGGCTTAATCTGATATATTTTCTGAGGTAATATTGTTAAAGTTTGTTCAACAATAGTGAAATTTTAAAGTTTGATTTTATATTTTTCATAAGCCAAGGTATCAGAGCTAGTTAACATATAGACTCAGGGTCGGATTTTAGGGGGGTGGTCAAAATTTTCTCAAGTCCCTAAAAATGCCTTTTTTGGCTGTTTTTTCAAAGTTTTCCCTGCTTTTTTTTCAAAATTTTGCCTGCGGTGCATAAAATTTGACCAAAAAGGTCTTTTTAATGCTTTGGGAGAGCTCGGAAAATCAACAATGTGGTCGACTTTAAAAAAAAGGTCGACAAATTTTTCGATAACTTTTTGAAAATCCGCCCGCAACCTCGAGAAGATCCTAGATCCACCCGTGCATAGAATGACCTTTAATGATTTCCTTGAAAATAGTTTTTGCAAGGCAGTGATTCTAATTATTGAACAAGTTTACAGTTGGTCCGTTAATATTTGTTCGATGTGTTAATTAGATTGCATGAGAAGAATTTCGAATTTCTCGACACTATGTACTGGCTACAAGCATGTGAGATTTTTTAAATAGAAGTATCCAACTAAAATTGAGTCAAATTTCAAGAGCAATCTAAGGTTTGTTTTAAACGAGGTGTAATAGCTTCAGTGGCGCTCTATGACGTAGTCACTTTTCTGGTGCGATAAAAACGGATTGTGTACATGAATTATCTTTGAAACTGATTAATTACCATGCATGCGAAAAGCTGGATAATGTTAACGTAACTTCATTAAAAAAATACATGTGGTAGAGGAAACATTGAAGGAGCCAAAAATAGGACTCGTCGCCTATTGATTGAGCTCGCTATTTTGATATGCGAGTCCTTTTTTGGCTTTTTTGCCGTTTCTTCTACCACCTGTGATTTTAACCAAAAAATTTACGTTAACATTGGCCAGTTTTTCGCATGCATGGTAATTGTTCAGTTTCAAATGCAGCCTTGTAGAAACTGAACAATTACCTCATGCAGCCTTGTAGAACCGTACACAATCTGTTTTTATCCGTGGCGGATTGTTAGTAGAAAAAGCTCCACTTTCGCAAATACGAAGACATAAACGTACTGTTTTGAGCAGGTGGATTGTTTAGAAAAATGCATTGAAAGGTCAAAGCTTCGTATGCCTTTGTCTTGAGTGGTATAATTTATGTGAATCAGTGTAAGAGACATTTAAAACTTTCTAAGAGATATCGAGGCCCTGAACTCAAATGTAACAGTTATTTGACCTGCTGTCATGTTTTTGAATTTTACGAGGTTCAAAAAATTGGAAAGTTTTCAATAATTCGGACGGAATTATGCGCTTTTATGCATTTTTCTTGCTTTTATGCATTTTTCTCAAATTATCATTGCGTAGGCGCAACTTAGTTGAGCGTGGCGATTCAATCAATTTTCATAACGCTCAAATATTTGTTACGAATTGAATTAAGGCAAGTGAATCAATCCCAGTAGTTCGCTATTAGACTCAAACTTCGTTTTTCTGTGACTGTTACTTTTTGAGGTTGAGTTTCTTTCAAGGCTCATTTCTATATTTGATTGCTTTTTCTTCGAGCTCCTTTTGTTTGTGCGTGCGAGGTGCAGCTTAGCCTTAGTTTCAGTCATCCCATTTTTTGGTCCATACTTGATCGAAAAAAAAAATCAATCAGATACTATTTCATGAATATGCGACTCGTCAAAGCATATACCTTCTTTTAATAGTTAATTTTTTAGCGCATCTGTAGCTACTTATAAAAAAATTAAATGCTGAATTGAGAATATGTAATTTCAATTTGCCAAGTTTTCTGTTTTACGTATTACCTTTTCAACTCGCGTTTGCATTACGTATTCGCCCCCTCACGTGAGCACTTATAGAGTAACGAGCGAGTGGTTTATCGGTCATATTTTTGCTTGTGTATGCGAAGTGCAACTTCGCCTCTGTGTTATAGTTGTCTGCTTAGTTCCCGTAGCTCAATGGCTTAGCTTTATTCCAAGTTGCTGTAATTTCAATGCTTGAGAAGAGAATGTCCAGTTGAGACCTGTTTTTCTTGCAAATAGAGAATTTTGGCTAATTTAGATTGTCTGTCTGCTTATTTTTTGTCTGCTTAGTTCCGCAGAAAGTTTTTTTGAGAACTTGAAGTCTTTATAGCATTCCCAAAGCTCTTCGTAGAGTTTCTAATGGTGCTGGCAATTTTTTTCCGGATATTTTGGACTTTCGTTGCAATTTTTATTGACAAAAAGGATTTTTTGAATTTTTTTCGGTTGATTTTCATAGTCATTCATATTTGTATCGCAAGTGATGCGAAGCTCAGCTTTGTCTCTGGGTTAATTGTGTGCTTGAGGCTTTGATATTTTCAAGATTGTAAAAATGTTCGTCAAAGGTTGATAGCTGAAACTCGCCAAATTTGTCTGAAGAAAAAACTAAACCGAGCAAAATGTTTCCTTCACTCTCTTCCAAAAACAACAACTTCGAATTAATGCGTGTGCGTCAAAGCAAGCATAGGTAATGTGCGTCAAAGCACACATAGGGAACGAGTGTTATTTGAAATCGGAAGGTTTTTTGAAAACGTTTTAAGTAGTTTAAATCATGAGTGTAAAGCTTTAATGTGATTTTAACAGAATGGAATATGAGCTAAGACTTTTTTGTGTATTCCTTTTGTCTATTCCACAGACACGTAACGTAGTTCCTGAGATTTGAATTTGCGTACCTTTGCGATTAGCAGGGGCCATGCAACCCGGTACAAGACTTTTTTTCGTAAAAAAGTTTGTGCACAAAACTCGATCGTGAAAGGGTTTTAATTGATTTAATATATACTCAAATTCAAGTTTAATTCTGGCAGTTCAAATCAAGGTTTGAGCAGTCTTAACAAGCATACTTGAGTCTTAACGTAGTTCAAGCTCTTATATAGAATGTGAATGTTTTTTTCTTTCATTTTTTCAAGAAAAGCTTTTAAAATTTTTCACGCTCAAAATTAGTTTTTCGCTCATAATTTCTAGGTCGCAGCAGGTCGCAAGATCGAATCCGAGACCTAGCAGATTTTTTACTAACTTAAGGCTTGTTTCTACTTTTTGTTATTGCTTTTTGTCGTGTTCTCGTTTTTCGTGTTCTGAGATTTAAAAAAAAACAAGTTGAATTTGAAACTTTTTCCCAGTGACTGGATGGTTTGAATATTTACAACAGCTAGATTGATTGCTCAATTTTACAGATTGGTGTTTCTTATCACTTATCAGGTACCACAAAAATCATCGGAATGGGTCGAGTGATATATCTATAAAAGCTCTTTCATTCGTGATTCGAACGTTTAAAAAAATTCTAAAATGTGTCCCGGTGTCGAGGTAAACGGTTTAAAATTTTTCAAGATTTAGTCTAATTTCGAGCAAATCAAGCAAGCGAGCAGGACTACAATAGCTTATTTTTCAATTTAAGCCGTGAATACTTAGTTTTGCTTGATCAAAGTCAGTTTTTCGAGTTTTTAGCGGCTACAAAAACTATTGAACAATTTGCCTATTTTACTATGATTGCCGAATATGCCTAAGTTTTAGTTTTTTGTTCAGACCCTTTTATCACACCATGCAAAAAAGAAACATTTTGAAAAAATTTTTTTTGGTATTTTCTTAAGACTTTGTTTATCATATTCTGTGCTACTTGAACAGTAACCGGCTATCCTTGTTATAATTCTGTTTTTGTTACTTTGCAAGTTTTTAGGAGAGAAATTGTGAAAATGACTTTAAAGTTCGGCATTGCCATGGCGCTACGCTTGTTCTGCTGCGCTTATTTTTGTCACGAATGGTATAATGCGCATGAATCTAGGTTGTATTTAAAGAGTTATTTATTTATTTATTTAATGTCGCGAGTTGCCGCTTTCTCTAGATTTCGCGAATAGTTTTGTTTTGTGAGCTCTTCCTGTGATGTGTTTAGTGACTGGGCTTGCAATTGCCAGGCGCTACTTTCTGGGAGGCGTGTGTCACTCCAAAGTCAGTCTGGTGGGCAAGACAGCTCTCGTCACAGGCGCCAATTGTGGCCTCGGATATGAGACAGCCAAGGACTTCGCCAAACGAGGTACTACTCAAACTTGCTCGTAACAGCACAAAGTTTCTACCGTTCATTACTTGAGTTTCTCATGTCTGTAATTTATCTATTTCAAATATTTGTTCACGATGTTTTACTGTCATTAAAGTTAGTATGTGGGATAATTGCCTATTCACCAAAAAAGTTGTCTTCATAGAAACTTAATAAAATCAATGGAACATCGTCGTAAGATTAATATTGATATCTGGTTAGTGAAACAGAAGAGTCCAAAGAATATTAAGAGCAGAAAATTGAATATGAAGAAGAGATGAGTTATGGACGGTACGTTTTTGTTTAATGTTATTAGCAATTAATTTGGCAAAAGAAATGGTGCCTCCGATTCTCAGCTTAGAGGTAGTTGGCTCTGAGTGCTCGCTAATTGTTGTTTTAATTGAGTTTTTAGGAATTTGGAGTTAATTAGGCAGGATTCGCCTTTTCGCTATTATTTGAGGTCAGTTGAGAGCTTTCCCCGCCGCCTGTGATTTTTATCAAATGAAAGCTGCGATAACGATGGTTTTCCAATTTTGACATGAATGGTTATTACGCAACTCCAAACACATTTTGTCTTCATCTACAAACATTTTAAATCATTGGCTTACACGAAAAACGTTTTTTTTGTCGATGATGGCTGGAGAAACGCTAAAAGAGCCCAATAAATTAGAAATCAAACCGCATAGATTTAATATTGGACTAAGTATTAGGCCTGCGTAATACTCATTGTTCCGACTTTCGATACGAAAGTAACGGAATAGTTGTGCTCGGGGTGGGTTTTTTTTCTTCAGACAAATTTCGACTTTTTAACTAGCCATTTTTGACGGAATTTTTTAAATATCATTCGAAAGGTATTGTTGTCCTGAGCTCAAATTTGAAAAGATATTTCACCTGTCATCTTTTTTCGTTAAGTTAAGGGGGTTTAAAGATTGCCATTTTGTCCAATTTGGGGCAATTAACGCGCGATATATTTCGCGCTATTAACGCGTAAGCGGAAAGTTAATCCGTCTTAGAAAGCGTTCCAAATTGGTTGAAAGAAGCCTATTTGTCATAATTGGTTTGTTACAAGGAACAAATTAGATTCTTCTGTACTGTATATGGCGTGTGGGGGGATGGTTTTCATAAAAAAATTTTAGACATTTTTTTTTTCATTTTTTTTTTAAATTTCATTTAATTTTTTAATTTTATTACTGCTCCATAAACCTTAAAAGGCAGTCGGAACATTCAGGGCTTCGCCCTGATACGAGCAGTCTTGTTGTTCCGACTTTCGATACGAAAGTAACGGAATATTTGTGCTCGGGGTGGGTTTTTTTTCTTCAGACAAATTTCGACTTTTTAACTAGCCATTTTTGACGGAACTTTTTTTAGATCATTCGAAAGGTATTGTTGTCCTGAGCTCAAATTTGAAAAGATATTTTACCTCTGATCATTTTTCGTAAAGTTACAGGGGTTTAAAGATTTGGGACAATTAACGCGCGATATATTTCGCGCCATTAACGCGTAAGCGGAGAGTTAATCCGTCTCAGAAATCGTTCCAAATTGGTTAAAAGAAGCTTATGTGCCATAATTGGTTTGTTACAAGGAGCGAAATCTATCCTTTTGTACTTTGTATGGCGTGTGGGGGGATGATTTTCATTAAAAAAATTCAAATTTTAGAAGAAAAAAAATTGATTTTGTTTTATTTCATTGAATTTTTTAAATGTTTTTACTGCTCCATAAATTTTAAAAGGCAGTCGGAACACATTCAGGGCTTCGCCCTGATACGAGCAGTCTTGTTTAGATTAGAAATCAAAACGCTTAGATTCAATATTGGCTGTAAGATACTTACAACTTTTCCTGAAAAAAAAATATATGGCTTTCGCCTTGACTTCTTTCATTTGCACTTAGCAAATGCGGTATGTTAGTGTTTGACAAGCGAAATTGGCATCCAAATCCGCTAAATCAAGTCCAATAAATTGATACGTTCCAGGTGCTCGTGTCATTTTGGCGTGTCGAAATACACAACTGGGCAAAGAAGCAGCCGATAAAATAGTGAAAGCGACTCAGAATGCCAATGTGCAGGTTATGCATCTGGATCTAGCCAGTTTGCAGTCTGTGCGAAACTTCTCCGATGCCTTCCTTCAGAGCGAACACGATCTTCACATCCTCGTCAATAATGCAGGTAATTCTTATGATATATCAAATTCTGCTTCAATCTGTGGTTTTTGATGTTTTGGTTTAAACTTCGAAAAGTTTAATTCACCAGGTGTCCTAGATATCAAGTATCACGAGTACATTTGTTCAGTTGTTTCTGCTGTTTTGTTTGTAATTTTCAAAAAATTAACTAGGAATTACATCAGAGCAAAAAGCATCATCGGTACTAACAAAAAGTGTTGTAATGCCTTCTGCTATTGCGATAGTGATTTTATCCCGACTACTGCCCGAGGGTACCTATTGGGTACCGCCCTCCCCTCCTCGTTTTAACTCTGACAGTTTGGCATCAAAATTGCAGAACTAGAGATGCTAAAATTTTGCTTAATTTAGACTTCTATCAACCATTTACTCTAGGAAGGGGAGTTAGAAAAAAGCGAACAACTGGATTACCAGCTCTTAAGAACTGGGCCCACTTGCTCGCTAATTAAATTAACAGTCATTATTTCGCATCCGCCCGCTGTCAGTTGTATACCCTTGTAAGTATAAGCTTGCATCATATCTCTGGTTCTCATGTTAAAGAATAAAGATCTTAAATTTAAAAAAAAGAGTGATTGCACTATTTAAGTCTCGTTTTTTTTTCGCTTTAAATTTGCCTCGACCTAAATTAATTATTGAACCTTTTGATCTGATGTCATATGATGTGATTTCTTTACGGGGCAACCTTCAACAAGCCTCTCGTTGGCTTTCTGGTTGTCCTATCATGAGTTATCTTTGAATTTTTGCATATTGTGTTATGATAATTTGATTACTCATGATGAATATTTAAATAAATAAAATAAATAAAAATTTGAAATGTTATTTTTATCGAAAGCGAAGTAAAAACAAACTTAAAAATGAATTTTTCCAATACAAGATTTGCTGAAACCTGCTGCGCTACTTGTCAGTTAACAAAGAAGATTTATTTCTTTGTGTTCGTTTGCAGGTGTAATGGCGTGTCCGAAGAATACCACAGTAGATGGGTTCGAGTACCAACTGGGTGTGAATCACCTAGGCCACTTTTTGCTCACCAATCTCCTGCTGGACAAAGTCAAGCAGTCTCAGCCTAGCAGAATTGTCAATGTGTCATCTAAGGTTAGTTGTTGCATATGCTAACGCTGCAGCTAGCAAATTGATGGATTAAGTCTTCGGCAAAACAAATCTATTCTAAGGTGCCAGGTAAATAAGACGACAGGACATAAAAACGACAAACGAGCGTTAAAACATTTAAAATGATCTAATCGAATTTAAACGTATATATTTCTCCGTAAATACAACTGGAGAATCATTTTTGGGAGCTGTTTTTGTCGTTTTCTCGCTTTGCTTGCGAAGTGCAGCTTCGCCTTTGTGTCGATCTCCTGGTTTTCAATAAATGTAATGGCTTTCTTAGACCTGCTTCAACCCTATTTATTCGTTCATTTGCTTGTTTGATGCAGGCGGGAGTTCGAGAGAAGGCAAATATTCACTTTGACGATATCCACCTGGACAGAGAGTACATGCCCTGGACGGCATATGGCCAGAGTAAACTAGCAAATATCCTATTCACAGTGGAACTGGCCAAGCGACTCAAAGGTTTACAGCACGTTCATTAACTTTTTTTTAAATTAAGCGAAGTTCTTTTTTTATGTTACATGTATTGTGGTGAATCTGATTTTAGACAACTAATTTGGTCATTTGTAGTTCATATCATTGTTTTTTATGCGTTTTTGTAGATGTTTTCTAAAGAAAAATTCGATTGTTTGTAGTTGTTTAGGGCTTTTTTGAGGGAAGAAAATAGTCCCATGAATCGATTGCTCATAGATAATAATAGTTATAATGAGTCGCTTAGCTCGTAGAGTGGCTCAATTACTCAATTTTCTACACGTTCCTTTCCAAAGTTGCCCTAAAAATGAATTTTTGAAACCAAAGTGCTTCAAAATCGATTTCTTAAAAATCATTTTTTCTCCATTTTCGTTTTTTTCCACCGTTTTTTTTGTGGTAGTTTTTGATTGCAACTCCAGTAACGAATAAAAGGCTTCAATTTGATGCATTACTGGGCCGGATATGAAGTTTCAACTTTCCTACCTATACTTCATCCGAACTGTATATAATTTATCGCCCGAACAGTAAATAATTTATTTCAGCGATCTGGATTTTTGCTCGGGTCCGCGCCTGTTTGGCACGATATTTACCAGTTAGAAAAGGTATTGCAAAGTCTAATACACTTGCGATTAGAAAGGGTATTGCAACGGGTAATAGACTTTTTTCCGATAACAGGATCTCCAATTTGATTTGACCTTCTAATATGTACTATCGTACTTACAGACAAAGTTTGAGCGTCTGCTTTTTAAATACGCGTTATATTCGAAAGTTTTATTGAAATGTTGGTAAATTAACCTACTCCGGTTTGTTGAAACTTTTTTCTTCGTAATCAGCTTCAAATGTTTCGGCTTATATTGTATAATTTTCTCATAATTGCGTTGCGTGTTTTGAAGGATTTTTTTTTGAGTAGAAAGTTTTTATGACAACCAAATTGCGACAAGCATGAAAAATAGTGTAGGTCTAGTTTTTTTGCGACAGCAATGGTTTTTAATGCTATATTTTTATTGTATCACAAGTGAAGCGAAGCTCTGATTCGCCTCTGTGTATAAATTGATAAGTTATATTTGGTAGCAAAAAGTTAGAATAGATATAATTAATTTAAAAGAGCGATCTGTGCTGACATTTCTACTGCCTGAAAAAAGAAGTCATTTGCTCTTTTTAACTAACTTTGTTAGTTCCATCTCTAAATCTCTATTCTGAGGTGTACGACTGCTTCAAGTCGAATGTTGATCTGTGTTAGGCAGTGGCGTGACCGTGAACTGTTGTCATCCGGGAGTGGTGACTACCAACCTGGGCAGACACATGCACTTCCCACTCTGGAAGAAGGTGTTGCTGGCACCCCTGATTCTGCTCATGATGAAGACTCCCTACTACGGGGCACAGACCCAGATATACATCTCTGTCTCTCCCCAAGTGGAAAACGTGTCCGGATTCTACTTTGCGTTAGCTCCTTAACTTTCAATTACGAAAAAGATCAGCTAAATCAGTAAATCATGTCAGAAAGTAGGTCATTACCAAGAGACCGGCCAATGTATCATTTCTTTTTACAATTTTTTCAAGTTTTCTACTGCGTCTATGATCATTCCTTTGGCTTTTGTCATTTCTCCGAGTCCTGCTATGCCTCCATTGTAAGGAAACAAGTTACGTTAAATTAATATTGATAGTTTTGGAATGTTAAAAGGCTGATATAATTGAACGATAGAATAAGTTAGAAATTCCATGTTCTGCTCGTTTTTTAGTGACTGCAGAGCCTTAACGGATATTCCTGCTAAATGTACCGACGAAGGTGATTCATTGAAACTGTGGAACTTGAGTGAAGAGCTCGTAGGGTTCTCTGCTGCCAACAGTGGGGAAAACTAAATTGATTGACCAAACCATAAACCAAACAATTAAAGATGGACTGACCTAACTTGAAAATTGCATAATTCACATTTGGAAACTGAATGAACTGATCTAATATATGGCTTAGTTTTAAGCTTAAATGATTTACTGATGGGTTTTAAAGTATCTCTTGTGCTATATTTCATTGTAAGTAATTGGGTGTTATTTATTTTTTCATCGTTCTCAATTCAATTTTCACGCTTGCGATTGGCAAGTGGTATGAAGTCAGAACATAGACTTTGAATTAACCAATTTGTTCAACAAAAACACTCAGAATCATTTAGGCCAACTGTTGGTTTATCCGCTCCATTTCAAATTCCGTGCTATTCGAAGTTTGCGTTCATATAGGTTGTAAACCAACTCTGAATTTTTATTGTTTCCCTTATTATGCTTCGATGAACGTAGTTCGCTGTTGTATAGGTCGCGATGATTTTTTTTCACGAAAAGTCTTATAAAAATTGTTCAGGCTCAACCTTACTTTTTTGCGGTTTGACTTTTGATGTATTTTTAATTTCAGTTCATTTTCGTTGTTATAAGTAAGGCAAACTCAACTATCAAACAGCGAAATTGTAGAGGTCACAAAAAGGTGATCGACTTATAGTTTCGAAAGTGGAATTCAATTATCGAATTTCCCAGAAAAATAAAACTTTTACCTAATGATTCATTTTTCTTAATTTGGGTTCATTTGATTAAAAAAGTGTCCATCATAAATTTCAAAGAGCTTCATGGATTTCTATTTTTTTTTGAAATTCGAAAGTTGAAATTTTTTCAAAAAAAAGTAAGTGTTTTTCTGTTTACTTGAGTTCATTGACTCTTTTCCAACTGTTAGCTGAGTTGTTTTTTTTTCCGCGCAAAGCGTTTTGCGGCTTAAAGGTTTCGACTAATCTTATAACGATTAAGTTGTCTCATATTGCGTCGCTTGAAGGGCATTGATAATTTTTTGGTTGTGTGTAGCTTGTTAAATTTTGTAGCTTTAAATTAACTTTCAAAATTTTGTCTGTTAGCTTGCCATGCTTTGATTGTGATACACTGCAAGTCAGATAAAGCTGCGTTTTGACTATTTGTTGTGGTCATTAATGATCAATACAGTGCTGACGTAAAATTTTCGGTTGATTGAGAAAAAAAATGCAAACAAATTTTCCTTAATTGGGTGCAAATGAGACAAGACTGCTCGTATCAGGCAAAACCTTGAATGTTCCGACTGTACATAAACTACTCTCGAATAGTTTTTGTTAATGAAAGTTTGACTAACTATGAAAATTATCCTGGAAAAAAGTCGTGCATGGAATTATTAAAACCAATAAGCTGGCTTGCCTCAAATGAATTTTAAACGATTTTAAGGTGCGGGATAAATTGTCACGCATGAAAAATACGCGTTACACTTTCAAGAACACGGCGTTCTAATGGTCACTTTACTATAGTACCACAGCTCTGTCTTAGTCAGGATAGTCTAGTGGTGAGCACGACCCTTCTGGGAACACGACGATCAATGGAGTGATCCCCCGGGAGGAATATTTTCGAGAATTCGTCTAAATAAAACTACCCCGAGCATATATATTCCTTACTTTTAAGAGTAATCATAGTAGTGAGTACTCTTATATAAGTCTCGCTGATTTTTTTTTCAGGAAAATGTCTTATAATTTGTTAGGCTCAGTTTTGATTTTCCGCAGTTTGACTTGTGATTTCTTTTAAAACTCAATGCATTTCTTTTGTTTTTAAAAGAAGGCCAACTCAACAATCGAACAACAAAACTGTAAAGGTCACGAAAAAACGCGATCAACTTCTAATTTTGAAAATGGAAATTATTTATCAGATTTCTCTGCGAAATAAAAGTTTTACCTATTGATCCAGTTTTCTCAAATTGGGTCAATTCACACAAAACAGTATCCATCGTAAATTGTTCTACAAATTCAAAGAGATTTAAGGCCGTCTATTTTTCTCTTCGAAATCGATAATTAGAAGATTTTTGAAGAACCTGTTTTTTTCTGTTTCTTTGAGGTCATTACTCTTTTCCAACTGTCAGTTGGCTATAATCTTCGAATGTCGGAACAATAACTGAAAGAAAATAAATCGGCCTAGAAGTTTTAATATGGTGCAATTTGTGTTGCGAACTAAGTTCCGTCAAGTATCGCAAGTGGTGGAAAGCTGCGTATTCCTTTTTTAGTTGTGCTAATTAGATATTGGCAATAGAGTGTTGACTTAAATGTAGTATGTTTGGAACATTTTAAAATTCAAGATTTAAGCCAAAAAAAATCCTGTTTTGACTCCGTTTAGTTGATAAAGGGTTCCGCTAAAAGTGCCGGGTTATTTGGTGATCAAATTGTAACAGCATTGTTATATGTAAATAAATAATGTTACAAAAATATTATCTTAGCTTCTAAATCTTTTACAGCTTTCACTATTTGTTTTACTTAAAATTCGAAATTTAAAAATCATACGTAAAAAAAGATAATTTCTGATTATTAAGGAAAACGTTTTATATACCAAAATTTTTGAAGATTACTTTTCTTGAGTTTTAGTAAGCTACTAAATATGCTCAAATAATATAATTTAATTAGCTTTCAACGCGGAAGTTTAATAGTAATTTTGACTACCTATAAAAGAATAGTGTTTTTTTTTTAAATTTACTGTCAAACGTCAACTTACAAAAATGAGTCTCTAATTTTTTTGTTTCATCTAGATGAGATGAATCAGCGCTAGAACAAAAGTTTAGAACCAGAGAATGGAAAAAAAAACATTTTTTTAGTTTTACCTTCTGAAATCTTCTGAAATTCAGCAAGTTACGTTTTGAAACTTGAAACTTATATTAGGTAAACCTTAAGCAAATGCATCCGCAAAAATGGAAAAAAAAATTTGGAAGATTTATGATTTTGTAATGAAGATTAGTCCAACAATCAGAACATAATCAAAGATAATCCCGTTTTCCAACCTCCAGCCTGATTGGTAGTTATAGATTGATTTGATGAAATGGCCAATTTTTTACCTTCAGAGGTAACAAGTTTTGATTGTTTAGTAAATAGTTGTCCACTGTTTGGATATTTTTTCAGTTCGAAATGATACTTAATTTACGCCAAAATTTTTATTTTTAGTTTATATTGAAAAATTTTTAGTTTGCCGCATGATAGGCAGAATAAAATTGAACTTTGACTAGGACTGCAGCATACTTTCATTTTTTGACAGAGATTTTTTGCACTTTTGATGCACTCAGAAATTTTAGTGATTTTTTGTATAAACATTTCGCCTTTTCTAGAGCTTGAAAATAAAAAACAGATTCTGCGAGTATTTTAACATCACATTTTAAAGTTTTCAATCAATTTTTTGACTTCTATTTGCCACTTTGAAAGCGTTTGTTGGTTAATCAAAGGAAAAACTCGGAATAGAAAAAAGGTGAGCTGGTCTGAGACAAAATAATAAGTTGGAAAAAAGTTTCTTTCGGTTTTGAAAAAATTTTGCGCAGTTGTGCTAAGTGCAATTCAGCCTCTAGGTTCTAACTGTCGTTATTGGTTTTCATAGGAATTGCTTTTGATTTTGATTTTTCAGATTAAGTTTTTCATCATTTTTTTTAAAATTTGATTTCTCTTACGCTTTTTAAAGTCGAAAGTTGCATATTATTAGTCTGGTAATGCCCTGATAAGAGAAAATTGTTTGCCTTTATTAAATGGAACGATATAAATTACCACACTGAGCACAGAATTTCTGTCACTATCTTGAAAATTCGGAACTACAAGAACATTTGCAAATAAAAGCAAGTTATTGGAAATTTTAACTGATCTTTAAAACTGAAGAAAACGCTTTTGCTTCAAATTATTTCATTCAAATAAGCATCCCTGAACAAATATGATGAACACTATGAAAATTTTCTAGTGGGTGGTTTATTACTACTGGTTTATTTTGGAAGAAAATTGTTTGCTCTTTTTGTGACTCGACGAAACAACCTACCATATAGTGGATGATTTCCAATGTAGCTTCTTCTTAGTAGATAATTTTCTCGGAGACTGGTAAAACAAGTTTCTGCTTATATAATTACTGCTTAGTTTTTATTATAAAAAACTGTTTTCAATATGCAACATTCTCATAAAATTTTCTACGTCAGGTAATTTAGGGTTAAATTCTGCTGATACAATGCGGATTCTACTAATTTCCGCATAATTTTCACCATGAAATTTTATTTGGGTCTCACTATAATCAATCATGTGTCTCTGGATTCCACAAAGGGATATATTAAAAAACATATTTGTGGTGGAGTTCGCCACAAATTTGTTTTTTTTCTACTGTCACAACATCAGTGGATTTTTTGATTATGCCACTTAGCAACAGCTGGTCTTATGGTGGAGGTTTATTTTTCTCAAAAACTTCAACTTTTTTAGTTTTCGAAAATGGAACAGTTTGAAAATGATAAAATTCAACATAATAATTTCTGGTTTTTAGCGTCCTTAAGCAGGCCCGAATTAATTTTTTTGATGGTTATAATATGTTTGAGCGGAAAAATAGCGGAAAGGTATTATAATTGGGAACTAAACTTTTTTTCCCGTAAATAATATTTTTTTAAAGTCTGCATGAAAATCAAATTGCTTCATTATTCAATCTTAACAGCTCATAGTCTCTTTGCCACATGGCAACGGTGTTGCTTTTGCTAATTAGGGTTTTGGAGGTTAGGTTCTGGCCGGACCCCGTGTTTCGTTTGCTGCAGAAAAATTTTCTTCTAGTTGCAATTGTTGTTGATTGATTTTTCGGACGTTCATAGAATTTGAATTTTTAGACTTTTGTTTGCCTGCTTTTTATCGGCTCAGTTTCCACGTCATAAGTTTTGGTTTCCCTTGTGCTGTAGAATTTTTTTATTGTACTTGCAAGTTTTTTTGAGTAATAATTAAGACCCTGATAAGTAAATTTATCTACCCTTGATTTGTATATTTTTAATTTGTTTTTATTTCGCTGAATTTTTTTCCAGTTTTATTGGTTTTGGCTTATGTTTTATCAATTTTAGTCAATTTAAGTGTGTTGGTCGAAAAACAAAAATCGATGATTATCTCTTAAAATAAACCAGGTTGTGTAAGGTATAAAGTTCAAAGTTTTCAATTCATCCGCTCGAGTATTTTGATGTTAAGTTCTCGCTGCATTTTTTGCTTCCGGGTTAAAGGACGTTTAACCTGGTATTGTCAATTTAGTGGCTACCTGATAATTACCAAAAGCTAATTTAAAATTGGTAATTGTTTTCTTTAATTGATATTTTCAATTTTTCAATTAATGCTTTTCGACTCATTTTCTGTTCTCTAGCTTGCAATGCAATGCTTGTGTCCTGTCGCAAATGATGCAAAGCTCCGCTTCGTGTCTATGTTTTTCCATCTTATACTCTAATTTCAACGCTTAATTTTACATAGTTGAGTGTAGGAGTGTAGATAATTTTGGAAGGTATTATTTTATTCAACAATCCAATTAAATTACAATAAAACTGAACAAAATATAGCTTTGTCAGTAACAGCTCATATGTAGACACAAAAGTGGAGAAAACTTTGCAATTTTTAGCATTACATTTTCAATTTTTCTGGTTTTTTTAGATTATTAGGTAAAATAGTGTTCTTGTTGCTTTCGATCTCAGATAGGCACCAATTGTACAGTGGAAAGCGAGCGCTTTTACAAGCTAAAATGGGTTTGAAAAAATTTAAGTTCGTAGGCTTTTGAATCTTTGAAGTTTCTTGCTTTAGGAAACTGTAAATCAAATTTTACTGCTCGGGTTGAGGTATTTCACTCATGATTCAACCGATTTTCAAGTTTGTCCGATTTTCATTGCGAATTAAGACAGTTGAAAGAAGTCAAAGACAGTTGAACAGTCGAACGAATAAAATCAAATCATGAGTCCAACAAATTTAAATAATGGATGAAACATGTCCGAATCATGGGATGAACAGAATCAAATCTTGAGTGGAAAAAGCTTGAATCATGAGTTAAACCGGGTCGAATAGGGGCGAATCATGAGTCAAACTGGGTCGAATCGTGGATCGAAGAAGGTCGAACCATGGGTCAATCAGAGCGGCGTCGGTGCTTTTGGAGTCGGTATAAAATGAGAATAAAAATTTTATAGAATAATCGATAAATTTTTACTCTTTCATGGGTCATGACGGTTATGAAATTCCTGACGGTTGAATTATAGGTACGTGAGGTGACGTTTAAGTTATAGGCATTGGCGTACTTGTATGCATGATTCATAGCATGTGACTATTAGCGCAATAAGATTTGAGTCTGTTTTCTCAAATTTGAGCCTTAAACTCAAAACGATGCGTACCGCATCGAACTGATTAAATACTTCAATTGTGCATGCTAAGTGGCACAATTTTTTTTACTTTCCATTGAAAAACAACGATACTTGAGCGCTCTAACTTTTAAGGTGGATGGTTCAGGTTTTGAGACATGTTGATATGAGACTTACCGCTACAGATGTAGTTGCCTATTAACTTTTAGTGGTAATTTGATATTCATCAGTCTGAATTATTGGGAACAAATCAATTGAATCTAAAAGTGTGTTCAAATTTAGGAGGCTGTATTAAATTAAAAACAGACAAATAACATAAGACTTTAAGCTTTAATTATGATCATGGATTTTATGTTTTTAGCGCGCATTACTACAATATGAAGTTATTTTGAATCTTCTGTCGCTTCAGTTTTAGTTATCTCTGGGGGCGGCGCTTCTGCCGGGATGTTGTTTTGTGCCGCTGGAACCTCGGCTACTTTTTCTTCGTCTTTCGACGTGGGGGTGGGCGTGGGTGTTGGAGGAGATTTATTTGTGGGCTTAATGGGTATTTTTTCGTCTTCTTCTGGGGAACCGTCTTTTGAGTTTCGAGACATGTTGTCCAGCTGCACCTGACCTTTCGTTTCGTACGTCATAAAGAAGGTCAAAATCAATGCTAGTAACATACAACCTAAGTAGAGGCATGTTGCACCCAGCATGGTTTCCTGAAACAAAAACATCCAAATGCAACGATTATATTTCATATCTAACGAAACGAAATTGAATGCTTAAGTTTTTATTAAATTGAATGCTTAAGTGTCGACTTTGTATACTCAACAAGCTCAATCAATTCTCACTAAAAGTCAAGAAAGTTTTTGAGCAATGTATCCCGGGAAGCAGTAGAGAAGCGGTCTCCGCCTCTTAATCAAAAAGTCGGATGTTTTGGCACTACCATGATCCGTCTGTTTTAAGCAGGGAGACAACAGCCGTTCTCCGTGAAGAGCTGAACATCCCATATATTGGACATTTCCTTTGTGGATAAATCGTCTTAACATAACTAACTTCTGTTCCAGTAAAAAAAAACGCTTCAAAAAAATCTCAGCTCAATGTCAAGTTGATCGCAATTTAGTCTGTCACATAGAACCGCAGTATCTCATGAAGCTTTTACTGAAAGCAGTTTTTTGAGAAAAGAAATGCATTGTTAATATTGTACAGGAATGCTTCATCAGCAAACCAATTTAGTTAGCTGACCTTGCTGAGGTATTGGGCGACGAAGGGGGTGATGATGACTCCGAACCTTCCGAACACGTCCAGGGCTCCAGAACCCACTGAGCGAATGTAAGTGGGGAAGTACTAAACAAAATACAGGTCGGCGGTAGTATTCACATCGTCAACTGAGTAACACAACTGGATCAAGATACAGTATCTGTTGTATGTTGTATCTCTCATGATGTTTTAAAAATGTATCTTTCCAATATCTGGTCGAACAAAAGTTGTCATTGTCTTTGAAGTTACGAGTATATCCCATTACTTATATATGTATCCTTATAAAAAAAAACCAAATGTAAATCTATAAGGTCAAAGTACCTCGTTGATGTAGAGAGTCATGATGTACCAACTAGCCGCACTGAACGACTTGCTTATCATCACAATCACAGTGAGCACAATCTCCCCCATGCAGAAGATGAGAGGCACTGCGAACACCACAGACACTGAGTTGGTCAGCATCATTCCCTTGATTCTGCCGAGACACTCTGCGGCCACGTAGGAGATGATGGCCCCGAAGCCCACCTCCAGATTGAAGATGGTGATCTTCAGGTACTCGTCGAACCCCATCGAATCACACTTCTCGCCTTAAATATCACACATTTTTTCAGCTATTAAAATTCTAACCTTCACTAGAGGTCTTCGTTGCCATTTTACCGAATTTTTGAAAATTAAATTAAGAAATAACAACAAATTCACTATTTTGATTTTTTTTGCATGGATAAAAAGTCTAACAAAAAATATCGCACTACCGCACTGAGATTTTTAAAACACTTTTTGGGGTTTTACTTTGCTGGAGGGGGCTATAGTGAGTAAGAGTAAACAAAATTGATTAACTCCGTTAAGAAAAATTGAATCACTTCAGAGTTAAGAATGAAAAAACTTGAACTGAATAACTTTTCGTAAAACCTACATCTGATAACGCTATATAAAAATACAAAAAACATAGGCTCTTTTCCAGTTCCCATCTTTGATTTTTTGTGAAACTCAATATATGAAAGTCTCTTTGATATGACGTTTCATGTTATAAACTGCATTAAAACGTGTCAGCGTAAACAGGTGAACAAATTCTTGTTCTAGCAACAACGTTTTCGTTCTAGCAAAAGAATTTTTGAATGGCTTTATTTCGTAAGGTATACGGGGGTGGGGAAACTTGGAAAAGGGCCGAAGCATACTCTTGGTCATGGTGGATGTGGCGACTATGCCATTGTGTTCTCCACAGTTGGAGGTGAGTGCCTTGTCCTGCAGTCGCTCAAAGTACAGCAACACCACTCCCATCGAGTTGAACTTGACCAGGAACCAAGAGGCAGCTATCACGAAGAACTGGATACACCTGGCCCTGTACTTGCACAGCTCCATCACCGCCCCACGTCTCTCATTCGACATGTCTGCCGGCTGGCAATTACACATTATATCTTCAGTACATTTGCTTATATCAGGGCCGTGCGCAGAAGTTTTTAGAGTTTTTAAAATTTATATAAGGTCACCTAGAGGCCCAGCTAAAACTGAAGGCACCTGTTTGATAATTTTTGATTTTGTTGCACTGATGCGGGATGAAATAACTTTAAGACTGGGCTTCATTCAAAAATCTTAGTTGCTTCTCTGATAAATTAAGAGTGAAGGTTTTTGAGAATTTGGAAGCATAAGAGAATTATCCTAGAAAGAACAAATTTTTCGTACAAATTTTAGGGCGTAGCCTATTGTGCACAGTCTCCCACAACCTGTTGCCGATTAAACCCTTGACATCAGATTTGGCTGAGTAGTTTTCAAGAAGAGTCATGAAGTTTCAAAAAAAACGCACAAGAAATCAAAACATTCTTTTTCTGATGCGACCATAGCTTTTTTGTTCTCTCATTCTTTTCTCCCAAAATTTTTGTTCTCCCAAAATTATTCTCATCGTTTTTTTATCGAACCCCAATCTCAATTTTGGAAAAATTATTTTTGAGAAAATTCAAAAAGTTTTAAGAAAATCAGTCAAAAAATCTAATATTTGACTTTTCCGAGTACCCTATTTTTTTGTGGAAAAATTGCAGTATAGCCGTTTATACAAGGTTTATTCACACAATCACACAATCTGTTTATTCGACTGAACTCAAAAATTCATATTTGGTTAGGTAATTTTCGAGAAGAGTCAAAACGTTTCAAAAAACCGTCCAAAAGTCACAAATGTGATTTCCGAGAACGATAATTTTAATGGTTAAAATAATTGGACATAGCCGCAAATGCAGGGAAAACTGTCAAACACTGTCAAAAACTTGATATTTGACTTTTTCCATGACGCTATATTTTTTTGAAACATTTTTGGGTCATAGTCGCTTATGCAGGATGCTTCAAACAATCTGATGTTTTATTAAAAACGAAATCTCATATTCGGGAGAGTAGTTTTCGAGAGAAGTCAAAAATTTCAAAAATCGTTCAAAAAATCCAAAGTTTGACTACCAAAGTTTGAGAAAGTGTTCAAAAAACCTAATTTTGTCTTTTCCAAGAGTCGCAAGTTTTCCTGTAAAAAATTTGGGCGTAGCTGCTTATGCAGGGGAGCTTCTCTTAACCCGTTCTTTCGAATCAAATTATAACTCAGATTTGGGAGGGTGTTTTTCAAAAAACGGTCAAAAATTTTGACTTCTCTGAGAGCCATAAATTTTAGTGTAAAAAAGTTTGCGCGTAGCCGCTAATGCAAGGGAACCTCCCACAAGCCGCCCATTTTAAAAATCACAATCTCAGGATGGTAGTTTTTGAGCAATATCTTCCCCACGGATTTTTTCGGCTCTTTTCCAGTTTCCCCCCTTTCAACTTCAATTTTGAAAAGTCTATTTAACGTTGTCATAATGCAATGAAATTTAGCGTGGTGAAGACATCGACAATTCTGAACAGATTTGTTCTTCATACTTTACAGCGAAACATCACGCATTTAGCCGTAATAACACGTAAAACAAACATAAGACTCGGTATTTTGAAAGGGGGAACTGGAAAAGAGCCATTTTTTCGAAGGCTCTAGATTGCGAGATATGGTAAATATATGCTAGAGGAATTTGCAGGCACATTGGGGAATGGCCGGTATTTCCATAGGAATCATTTTTTAAAATATCGTTCATGTAGTATTTGAGAAAAGCTAATTTATTTGAGAAAAGTGAAAGATTTTTCCAAAGCGTCTCAAAAAATTTATTTTGGCTTTTTTCTACGCCCTTCCACAACGTTTCAAAAAATTCCATTTTTTAAGTTGTCTTATTTGTTTTCATGGCTGATTGCGTGGTGTTACAATACAAAGTATGAAGAAAAAATGTGCAAAATTTCCCTACAGTGAGACAACGTAAAAAGAATTTTTCAGAAAAAGAGCCTAAGGAGTCTATAGTGTCACCAAAAGTTCGACAAGAGATTTTAACCCACATATTTTTTCTTCGAAAGATTTTGGCATTTTTATAAGTGAATTTATCAACCTCAAGATAGTGATATGTTTCCTCGTCCAGTGTTTTGTCAAATTTCCTCAGTACTTTGATGACACCCTTGTGATTTCCCGTCAGCAACAGATATCTGGGACTTTCAGGAACAAAGGCAGCTACAAAGAAGCTAGATACAATAACAAGAATCGATGACGCAATAATATACCACTTCCAGCCGTCTGTAAGAGGTAAAATGAACATGGCCAGTGTCGACGCCAAAATAGTACCAATAAATGCAGCAAAAAATATGATCAACGTTGCAAATGAACGACTCTTTGCATTCACCATCTCTGTTGCGTAAGTTACGGGAAGGAACGCTCCGCCGACACCCACGCCCGTCAGTAAACGAAGAATGACATACGGAACTAAGCTGTTTGAAAAACTAGTGCAAATACCAAACACTCCAATCCACAAGAGCATAATGATTAGCGTGTCTTTCCGACCATATTTGTCGGCAACAGTCCCCCAAAATAAAGATCCGACAAGAGCGCCTACATAAAGAGATGAGGTACTCATAGCTTCCTGAAGACCTGTCAGTTTCCATTCGCAAAGGAGTGTGGGACCAAGAAGGATACCCACTTCTGTTTCCATGACGTCAGCTATAGTCACTATGGACAAGATGATGATGACTATGTAGTGGTAGCAGCGGAATCCAATTTTGTCCAGCAGTTCATCCAGGGATATCGTTTGCATTGGGGGGCTAAAATTGGTTGAGAATTTAATTATTATGAGCATATTTTTGTTCTTCATAGTATATAGCGAGAAAATATGGATTTGGACATAATAGCGTGCATAAGGGTTATCAAAGTAAAAAAAATAGCCAAAAAGAGCCAAAAATGGTGGTGAGTGAATGGTCTCTAATTGTCTTGATCTTCCAAAAAATTTCGCATTTGCCTACATTACTTGTTTGCTTTTCTTTCAACCCACTATTATGGCAGTTATGAAAGTATAGCTTTCTATTGTTATACATGTTGTCTTTGATGGCTCCATAGTCTGGGGGAGGTGGGTCACTTCCACCCGCACCCACCATCTCCTCCGGATCCGGCCGACCGGCCGTCTTTTTTCTGAAACACAGAATATCTGATAAAAACCAGTCTTGTAAATTGTTGGAGAACTTCGGGAGCCATATGCTCTTTTTGCTGACATATTTTGCTCTTTGACCCCTCATAATAGAATTTTCTTAGTGATGCATGCCGAAAACAAAAATTGATCGTATTTCAAATATCACAAGGATGGATGCTAACGATTTTAGATCGGCCCCACTATATAATCCTACTGATTGGAGTGACCCTGCATTATCTTGAAGCTGCCGAGTACTGGTTGCATCGTCGAGGTCAGCGGTCGGCTTATGCTCCGGATCCTTCTCGATGTCGGAGTCATCTCGATCGCCTAGCTCGTACCTTTCCGAATGCTCTTCTGCCATTTTACAATACAAAACAATTCGAAGTTTTATCCCGAATGACGTGAATAAATGATGTGTAATGTGTGATTAAAAGTGATAAGCATTGAAGCCATGTAATAATACAAAGATTGAAGCTTTTTCAAGCACGAGAAAATAACTCAAATGAGCTTAGGTAGAACGTAGTTGCGTGAACAACAATTCAGATCATTCACAACTTCTACGCACGAGAGTTTACAGCCATAAAAATTTTGAGGAAAACTGATATATTAACACGAGCTTCAATAGTGACCTTTGTTTTGGTTGCTAACTTCTGTGTCCGTGGTTTTAAATAACTATGAATAAAGTCACGTGACTTTTCAGAAGGTCTACTACCGCCTGTAATTATTGTTCCATTTACATCAAGTGTCGACCACGAAGTGACTGGAAGGAATTATGGAGTAGCGTGGTGTTTTTGCCCAATTTCGGAACCTCACGGCTCTTCGGCTTTTCCCACTCATGAGGTGGGGTAATAAAAAAGAACTAAAAAACCATGCATTAAACAATAAGTTGCCGTGAGGTGGGAAAATATCCAAAAAACTTAGGGGCTCCTCAAAAAAGCAGTCCTATTTTTCCACCCACCTTCTTAAACTGCTTTCGAAAAATTTCAATTTTTGATAGAAAGTTAAAAGTAACAATATTGGGAGAGTACACTCAACTAAATTTTTTCGTATGTTTCTGTCTCCTTATAAATCAGATAGATAGTTGAGATCATTTTCTTTTCTCTCCACCTGCAAATTTTACTGTTCTCACCAACCGATTGCTATGAAAATGGACATGCGGACTAGTTAGGCCAAGACAAACATATTTAGTCTCTATATTCAACTTTGTGAAACCACTCATAACACCATAAAATTGATGCTCATAAGAGGTGGGGGGGGGGGGGAGAAAAAGAGCCGATAGCTCATGGGCTCTTTTTCCTTCCCCCCCCCCCCACCTGCAAATTTTTATATTTGAAGTTGCCGTTCACTTTGTCCGATTGTCATGCAGACTAATTAGGCCATAACAAGCATATTTGGTCTTCATAATTAACCTTGTAAAACCACTCGTTAGACCATAAAATTCATGTTTCAGTGAGGTGGGGGGAAATGGAAAAAGAGCCTCCACATGTATTCAATTTTTTTGTACATGCTCCAGTTTTTTTGTTCCTTACAACTTTTACTTTTATTCACAGTCAGATGACTGAACCCTTTTTTCAATAACTGATCCAATTTTGAAGATACTTTTAATCCTTGGAAATGTGAATCCTTTTCAATTGATAGTTCAATTACTGAAACCAATTTTTGGCTCTTTTTCCTTCCCCCCCCCACCTACAAATTTTTATATTTGAAGTTTTTGTTCACTTTGTCCTATTGTCGTGAAAATTGACATGCAGACTAATTAGGCCATAACAAGCATATTTGGTCTTCATAATTAACCTTGTAAAATTACTCGTTAGACCATAAAATTGATGCTTGTGTGAGGTGGGGGAAAGGAAAAAGAGCTTTAATCTGGTGTATCTCTACATCTCTAGATTTTCGTCAATTTTGCCAATTCTCAAAAAAAAATTAGCTAAATGTATGATTGATGTGCCACATGAAACCATGTTCCGCTTTATTTATGGGATTGATATCTGCATTTTTTTTTGCATTACAATGCCATCAATCTTCCCATAACGTCAAACGAAATTTCGTTACTGATCCAAAGTTAATGCAGCAGTTATCCTCGTGCAAAAAACTTATTTTAAAGCAAAAAATGTTCAAGTCATTTTTGTTTTCTACACTAAAACTCAATTTTATCATTTCGCACTTTTTCACCAAATTCCTTTCCACGTGGGAAATTGAAGTGCAAAATGCAACTTCCAGTCCTATCGAAAATTGGAGACAAAAATCAACCGTGTGGTAGAGTAACTGTAGCTACAGTAACTTGAGAGGTCCATATCGTAATCTTTATACATATATTTTGTTAGTATTTATTCAAGGTCATAATGTGCTGACCTTAATATAAGAAGACTGAGATTCAGTCTGCCGTACGTAGCTACGGAAACAGTTATCCGCACTTATCTTGTGCCTGGTTGTAAAAGACTAAGTTTATACTAAATTTACGGTTCGAAATCTTATCAGTTTTCAATCAGAAGTATAGTTATCCTTGTTGGTATCACATGGTGCAGCCAGCAGAATTCTTGTCTCAAGATAACAGAACTGACATGAGTATTCTTGTTTTCTGGACTTGAGCAAACTGACCCGCCCTGGATTCTCTGAATTCTCTGACCCGCCCTGGAACTTTAAAATTTGATTTGACCAACGTTTACTAGCAGTGACGGTCAAAGAAAAAGGAATCCCAGACATACTAATGGAGATCTCAAAACCAGTCATAGAAGAGCCAGTTCCTTGACCAGAGATACCAAGAACAGGTGAAGATGAACAAGCAGTAACGGATAAGGAATCAAAAGGTGAGCTAGCGAGAGACAGAGTTCTGTTCGAGAACGAAGAAAGAACAGAACGAGGACCTAAAGTCGGTCACAATGGGTATTATAACGAAGTTCAAAAACGACTTGCTTCGAGACTTTTCCTAGCTGTGGGTACTGAAAGGAAGAAAAGATTTGCTCAGAAAAACCCACATAGGGCGGTTTCCAAACTCGAGCTTAGACAAATTAAGGATTTTGACTATACCATTGGCAGGAAAAAATTAAAAGTGTCACGTACGCAAGGTACAAGTTGTTCCTTAGATCTCAAAAAATGGGAGAGAGTTTGGAACTCTTTCATGCAGCTCTAACTGCACAGGCAGCGAAAGCGGAGCTAGGCACACTGGAAGACAAAATACTTAGAGACTTATTCATTTCGAAGATGAAAAACACAGTATTACAAAATAAAATAACGTTAGAAATTTTCACACCAGAAGAAGTTCTTAAAAGAGCTTAAAAGTTCGAACAGAGTAAACAAACGACACAAGCGTTTCAAAATTCACACGTCAATAGTGCAACTGCAGGCCATCTGTCTGAGTCACCTATTAAAATAAAGCAGGAACCCATTATGGCAGTAGGCAATATAGGTCAAAACAATAGACGATCGGACCAGGAACAGTATAATTGGAAGACAAACGAAACCAGAAACAATGCAAGCCCCAGCGCAGACCAGAAACAGAGTGCCAGATGTGGGAGGGCCTCTGTGGAGGGAAACCTCAAGAGTTGCCCAGTAATTGGGTCATGTAAGAACTGTAACAAGTCATGTAAGAACTGTAACAAATCCGACCATTTCGCTAAGATGTGCCGGTCACAACAAATAAACGAAGTGACGGAAGCAGAACAAGTACAGACAAAGAAAGTAAAGTGATTCAAAAATTTGATTCTTGTGATGAATTCGAGATCATGCCAATCGAAACTGATTATACATCAGTCGAGCAAATCAAAGATTATATCCAAAATTGGCTAGCAAATGAGGATTCAAGCATTCAGGTTGGAAAAAGCCACAGAATAGCAAAAAGATGGATATACGCAGGAACCCCCAGTCAAAAGAGATAAAAGCACTAAAAGTGTTGGTCAGAACTGATCATCAAATTATCAATATGACCATAGATACGGGGAGCCCAGTATCTTTCTTAAACTCAGCAACAACAAAGCAAATACTGGAGGAATCCCTCAATACAAAATTCGTTCCAGCGGAAAGACTAAACCTGTCAGCGCATTTTTTTGATTATGAACAAACCCGATTTTGATATTGGGAGCGCTTACATTAGATATTCGATCAGCAGGATGGGAGGTAAAACAAGCATCGTTTCTAAGACCAGAACACCGTACAAGAAGCATTCTGTGTCTGGATTTACAAAGCAAAGTGGGATTACACACAACGCAGAAACCAGCACCCAAGAAAAGATCGAGGTTCAACGTACTACTCTGCGAGCAGTCAACAGAGTAGAAACAACAATTTTACCTTAGTTTTAAAGACCTATTTAAACGCCAAGGTGAATCAAAAAATCAAGTTAAGAGTACAAAGTTAGTTTAAGGTCCACCAAGCCCAATACAAGAAAAGGGTAGAAGAATACCCATTCACATTCAATACAAAGTCCAATCGGAACTCACAAAATGAATTGCTATTGGAAGGACATACAGAAACTAGACAAATGTACTAGCGATTGTTTGCTCGCTCCTATAGTTATTACTGCGAAGAAAGACGATTCCATAAAACTGGCATTGGATGTCAAACCTTTTAATAGACAATTGTACAATGAAAGTACCAAATGCCAAACGTCGATGAGATAGTGGAAGGGGTGAGTCAAATCGTAACAGCGAAAACAACCGGAACGCTGTTTTTCACGGTATTGGACTTGAAATATGCATATAGTACTGAAGTTAACTAATGAAACAGCTAAAAAATGCATTTTCAATTTTGTAGGGGGAAAAGCAACGGGGACATAAAAAAAGGTCCTTGCAGGGTTCTATGTGCTAGCCTACATGCCAGCAGAGTTTCAAAATGCTATGGATTGAGCAAAAAACCATGCTAGAATCACGTTTTGCTTTCTGGATGATATTTTAATCGTCTCAAAAGGAGAAAAAAAAGGAACACGAAAAGTTGGTTCTCGAGGTCTTTAGAATTTTCTAAGTGCGAGTTCTTTCAGACGGAAGTGCACTGGCTCGGTGACTAATTATCAGAAAAAGGTAACAGAAAAAACTTTTCCAATGAACTAGGATGATAAAAAGAGGAACATCAAACCGGACAGATTTAGCGAGCTCGGACTCAAGCATACCCCATACCGAGAGGAAGGCGATGAAAAAATACAGCAAAGCGAATCCAGAAACCAGGACTTCCACGTCAACTGACAAAACGGTGTCGTGGTTAGTTTCGTTTTGGAACATCATCGTAGCAGAGAGGACGGACAAACCGTGGAACATGTTAGAAGGCCAATTCAGAGATGATCA